GCTTAATCAAAGTCGACGATTTTACACTAAATTTTATTTCATCATCTCATCTTTCATGAGTCAGTTAAACCTGTTTCGTACTTAATATTTCTCGAGATCTTTACACGCGTAGTGGGTTTTTCTACTGCACATATTATTTCAGGTCCACAGGCCTCGTCCACGATATTGCACCATCGGTTTATATGGAGTCAGTTGTCATCTTCTCACCCGAACAGCAAATTAACAGATTGAGGCGCCAACAAAAATACAGATACAATAAGAATGGTGAGATTTTATTCCCTCTACCACTTTTGTCGTATTATTAATGAACATCGTGACTCGTCTGTGACTTGAACATTATGAATTATGCGTAATTACACAATGCTTCTCGTCTCATGGCTTTAAGAAATATTGGCAAAATCCGCTTTTGTCTACTTGGAGTTAAATTTCCACTTTTTCCTGCCAGGCTCCCCCTGTGCGCGTTTTCAGTAGACACAACAGCAGCCGGCGCATCGCCTTGCTTTGGCACTTAACGACACAGACGCGTGCGTCCGCAGCACACAATTTCGCTGACAGCACATTCAACAATTCTTAGCTTTCGAGTTGCCGTATTTTCGGGGTGCCACATTCCATCACTAGCTTGGATATGTGTTGATACTGTCAAGTCCGCACACGTATCCATTCCACTTGTGTCCGTGTGGCGTTGAAGACCAGCACAAACGCGCGCGTGATTGTCATGCCGGCATTCTAGTGGCAATGACCTGGTGCCTTCGGTTACTGAGGCTCAATGACGCATCGATATGCTAATGGGGCGATACCTGCCCACCCAGTGTATGCATTTGATAGGCGTCGTTCCGTAATTATAGCTTTCAAGAAGTTCAACTCCGTTTGTTTTTACGTTGGGTCTTGCTCCTTTTAACATTCAGTAAATTGCCATAGCGTCAGGTTCATAAATACGGTCCCGTAGTTGTCAGTCACGTATTATTCTGTTTATTTTGAAGAAAATGCATGATTTACATTGATGTTTTTTATGGTAAATTTTATTTAAGGCAGTCTATATCCTAAACGTTTGTCAAGATCACGTGTTTTGGCACATATCTAGAACGTCCCCTTTATCTTTTAAATGGAATTATGATTGTCATTCCCATTATTTTCACACACGAAGGAGCGGTTATTTAGATGGAAGTGAATGAATTATGTCAAAAAAGTTCTTGGCATAATTCTCACTACACTTTGCCAAAGTCACACAAGGTTTGAGAACTTGACCGTGCACATTTGTTAGACGATGCCTATATCAATGTTCTATTTGACGACAGTTTCTGCGGTAACCGAGCCACATGGGTCACGTTTCAAAGTAGACCGCCACGTGTGTTGTATCCACTGGGGAGTCACTGCCACGATGACCTCATTTGCCCACTACGCAGTTACACGTGTAGATTATGCGTTGTAAGTTCAAGCTATGCAGACATTCTGCAACTAACATGTTTTCAGATGAAAAGTAAAAGACATTAAACTGGAACAACGAACAAAACACTTTAACTGAAAGGAGGCAAGCCATCGCACAGGAATCTGTTGATTTATCTCTACCTTAGGATCATCAGTGATAAAACCTCTGAGTCACACAACAAAATGTTTTCGGAATTCAGAAACGGTGCCATTTGTTATATCTCGTAGGAATTGGCTGGCATTTTAATACAATTATCGACATTTTTATCATGTTGATCGTATGTGCCGGCTATTTCTTCTATCTTTTAAAAGTATTGACGGAGGCATTAAGTGAAGTAATAATCATATTTCTTCGATACCTTCAGAAAAGTTTGTTTTATCGGCCGGTTCTAAGTGTCAATATCTTGTCATATCACTTGTTACTCACAGTTAATCTGTTAACATGAATTACAACTTTGGCGACGCTGATCGTGCAAGTTAAATTGAATCAACATCTTGGTTCAAGGCACGTACTTTTATGAGAAGCCAAATGGAGCGGTTTTCCGTTGTACTTGTCCATGCCTTTTTTACCCGCTTTGCACTCCTTCCTCTAAATTGGTATTTTTTGGCCTGCGACTACTTCCAATTCCATATTTAATTTCTGATTATCCTCATGCCTCATTCTTTGCACGAATGCCAACTAGGACCAAATTCCAGTACAATTGTAAACTTATTTTGACGGGAAATTTACACTACGAATTTGTGGACGCAAGGGTGTACCTTCAGTGAATTCTTCTGACGCAACGCAGCCGAGTAGCCCCCTATCAGCCCGGCTACATTGTCCGGCCGTGTGCACTCGTGCGACGACGCAGTTGTCACTCGTAGCGGCATTTGCCAAATCGGCATTCTTTCTAGATTGTTACTTACCCTCCTGTCTGGAAATGGGTGCTTTGTTATGCCGTTTAGGGCATAAATAAAAGGCCCTGGATGGTTCCGCAATCCACTGCGGATCAGCTGCGTTAACTCTTATGCAATTCGTGATTAAATTTTATTTCGAATTCTTGCAATGGGTTTGGTTTCGCCAATTGATTGCATAATTTTTTCATATTTGCCTCTTCAGAACAGTCACCTCGGGTCATCTACCGAAACATCACTGTCCCCAGCGAGGTGAGCTTTTTTCTTTCCTTTATTCTTTTTCGGTTCTTGTGTTTAATCAGTTGAAGACAAAACGTATTGTCCTTTCGGTTCCAACACGCACTCCTGTTTAAATATACTTCCTCATTTTGGAAAAAATGAAGATATTAGAAGTGAGTGTCATCTGCATAAACTTGAAACCGAGGGAGTTCTGATTAAGAATTCGAAATATTAGTTGCTGTAGTGTCGGTTGCCATTTTATTTGTCTCTCCGGCCCTCCTTGTTAAAAAGACATCGTATTTTCCGATAAACACTGGCTTCTTAATTCAGCAAGCAGATTACAGAGTTAGAGCATGAATATGAAAAGGGATATTTATTTTAGGTTTCAGGTTAAAGTAATAATTTGTCCTATCTTGGACGCCCCTCACTACCGCCTGGGAGCCTCGGAGACTCCATGCTCCCATCGTCATTTCTAGCCAGTGATTAAGCACGATGCCCAAGTGCAAAAGTTGTTTATTACTGCTCTTGAATATCTTTTGTCAAAATCTAAACCAAAGTTAGTTTTTGAAAAATTACTGACTTCTTTTCGCCTATGGGCAAACAACATGGGCATAATCTTAGCTTCAGACATTTTTCTCCTGCTTCGTTCCCAACGCAATTTATCTTAGCTAAGGGACGTGGTAGCTTAGTCATTCGGCAACCGATCCACATTTCCACAAGAATGTGCCAATTTTACTTCATTTAGAATGGGACAATGCACATTTGGTGTCTCCGTTTCATTGTGCATCGGTCTAGACAATGGCGCTCATTGCGAAGCGACGAGTGCTTTCATTCATTTCTTCATCGAATTCTGCATTTAATTTTAACCTGTCAAACTGTACAATGACCACAACTAATATCCTTCCTTTTATGCTACATTCGGATGTATCAACTAAAACGAGATGTCGCCTTGAGGAATGGTGATTTCCGTAAATGAGCTGTATCTATGCATCACCCTAGCATCTGGTACTGGTGTAAATTTTGCGTAATTTTAACCAACACAGAAGACATCTAGTGATGCAGGAGTGAGTCACGCGCCGATATGAACCTACTTTACCGGCCAAATTCCACTCCACTCCCCGAAAAACCCCAGTTCGGCATGCCTGTGCGGTCTTGTTAATTACTCCAGTAAATGCACGACGTAGTTACTTGGCCCATCAGAATGTATGGGAATTTCTTCGCGTTTTTTTATACCGAGCATTCAGCAGCGAAAATTACTGCAAATGATTCAACCCAAAAGCCTTCAATTTAAAATGTCGTCTATGTATTTTCCATTATTTCTAACCACTGAAACAAACATGTAAACAAGGGATCTTCCCGAACAAGTTGCACTTGCCGAACTTTTACTTATCCAGGTATCATGTCACATGTATCCACCTTTTCAAGCGGAGCCAGATATCGAAAGTGCTCTTTAGTGATAGAAAGATGTTGAGCTCGGGCCAAATTGCCTGCTTGAAGTGTGAAAAAAAGTTGCACCTTTTATTTGATGGGGGTACTCTGGCTTTTTCTTTTATGGACATACAAGTCATTAAACGGTAGGCTATCTAAACAAGTAAATGATAATACGCGCGTCGCCTAGTTTGGCGTTGTTTCTAGAGGTAATAGTAGCCGCCATCTCGGAAACATTGTCGTTTGTGCAACGAAGCATGTGAGTCATGTGTAATCGTGGTGACGTGCTTATGACTCCAACTATTTGGTTTTCACAATGCATGACTTGACAAAACGGCGCCCTCCCATTATCAGTGACCGCCCTTATCGAAACAGATGAACTCTTTAAGTTCAATTTATTCGCGATTTCGTTTGACTCGTCCCTCTATTTCTGGGAAATATTTTTCAAGTCACGTTCCACAACATTTTTATTCAATGGGTGCACAGCTGCTGTGTGTACTTTACGTATTTACACAGTGAACACGTAAAGTGCAGTCGCGTGTGTACTACCAGTAGGTAAATAATTCCGCTCCTTCGACTTCCTGTCTGGTACCTAGTTTTTCAGAGAACTTTTCTTATATGTTATTTCATGGACTTCGATTACTCGCGCCCAACCCAAACACCGAAGGTTTTCTTAATTGGTCTCGCCAAATTGTCACCTTAGGGCCTGGTCTTCAGCGGTCTTGGTACGAATCTGAAGGGAACATTAAACGTGTTGCGGTTTTTATGCGCATCTGAACACCACGGTAACTGCAAGGGTGCAGGAAGGCCAATTCGACTTCCGTTAATTCTACTACATATTCCCATGATAAATCTGTCCACTAAATACGATAAGCTCCTTCAGTGCCACCACCTGCGCATGTAAGCTACCCCACAAAATGAAAAGTGCAAAGCATGGTACATTTTCACACAAACACCTAAATTTCGTCTGTGCCAAAAAAATTCGATTTCCATTATAGACCTTGCATCCCGTCCGAGTGTTCCATCAACCCAGAATGAAATCACCCTACATAGTGGAGCTCTACGTCGTGACAGATGAAAGATTTGTAAGTGCTTTTATCGTTAAACGTTGGCTTTTTTCAGGCAGGCGCTAGAAATTGCGCGTCTCAACGCGCAAACTTATGTTAACAAAAAGGTGGACTGTCTTGGCCAACACCTTTCATGTAGGCGGCGCTTGCCAGCCATGCGTCAGCAGTTGTTAAGTCACAATTCTATTGGTTGGCATGAGAAGCTAACCTCGCCCCCTTTTGCGCGATTGGATGGATTTTGCGCTGTGGACAATTTTATACTAACGTGGAAGTCACTGAATTTCGCCACTAAGGACAAGAGGCTTTGTCTCGATTACTTGTTTAATTTCGGTTCCAAATACACAAACCACGGGACTGTATGCGTCATGCCTCGTGAAGCAGACACCGCGTTGTCACATGGGCGCTTGTCATCTGTAGTGTAGTTTTTTTCGGATATTTTCTGTGTCAGACGCCGTATATGTAAGAACTGCATGACCTTCAATTTTGGATATCTGCACGGATATTTCGGACATTGGTTCTCTGGATTTTTTGGTCATGTCCTGTTTAAAAAATACATGTAGGTTTGTTGTACCATTTGAATGATGCAAGTTTGCCTTTTGTGAGACTTATTCTACGCTCTCACGACGCGTGGGTGTAGGCAGTAAAAGGGTCTGCGAGGTCTCGTATTCGCCTGTCGCTCAGCCAGCTTTATCGGCAAGTGGGCAGTGCCTGATCTCCGCACAAGGAGTGCTTCAGACGTAATCAGTCCTAATCGTTATCCATTCGCCGTCTTTCACATTCAGTGGTGGACACTGCACAGCCGTGTTTTGTGCACCGTTAATTGTGGCGTGACTTGGGTGCTTGCGTGACTTGGATGCTTTATATTGTTCAAATATGTATTGGAAACACTTAAGTCGAACACTTTTTCCATTTGGTTTCAAAATTCTGCCTCTCAAGCGATTAAACGTGGGATTCGAAATTCAAGAAAGTCGATTTAACAGTATGCATTGAAGACATCCAGACATCTACTGTCTTAAAAGCCCAGTCATTTGAGGCAAGCTGTGCAAGCGGCAAAGCAGTCGCTGGCCCAATAATAAATGCAAAATATTAAACTATCAAACCATCGATTCTCTCACAAGTCTTTTTTTCCAAACATTGTCGGATCCGGTTCATATACCCTCTAAACTACCCGATAGGTTCAAAATATGTGAGCCTATCTGCGGCGACGAGCTGAAATGAAAAAAACGCCAATTGTATTGGAAATACTTGTGTGGCCATTAACGCCATCAATCCAACAGTTACCGCTTCTGTAGTTTACACTACTTGGTAGAGGTGTGGGGCGAAACGGTGTTTCAGAGGGGTAAACGAAAGTGCTGTCGTCAATGCGGTCTCCACGTGTTGATTTCGCACAACACCTGTGACAGCTTTCAGTCAAATATAAAAAAACTTACCTTTCAATTTCTCTACGTTGCATGAAGACCAAGTAGTCAGTCGGTTCTTTGTCGGAGTTACCGTGCCTGTTTTGTCCGCCCGACGGAAAATAAGCCACTACCTCGTAAGCACGCGAATGATTTATTGGCCCCCTCTCGTCGCGTCGTCGGCGTCTGGCCTTGTTGTGGTGGTTTAAGTCCCTTATAATTCAGCGTGAATACGTCACGAGCGTACAATCGGGACGGCGATTGCAAACAAGTTTCCAATTTACACATGACCCTGATCAGCTGACTGAGACCTCACCGTCGTAGTTTGTTCATTTTTTGTGCTAACGCAGGTGGCCGTTGTCCGACTTGACGCCGGTGGTCGTGCGGCAGAGCTGTGCTTGCATCTCGATGCTCCTCATTGTGCGTGATTATTCATCAAGATTAATTTTGAACAAAGGCGACCACCACCATTGTGCCAGAAAACCGTTTGATATTCGGCCATGCACTTGTCCACTGACATGTTGACTTTATTTAAGGCAGTCACTTGGTCCTTACCGCACGAAATGTAATGTACGTAATCACGATTTGCTCGTCACTGACTTCCGTTTTATTGTGTAAATCATACATGAGTTCTTACGCTACAATTACAGAAATAATCGTTTGTGCTTTTGTCATGCTTGCATATCAGCGTTGTAAACTTCTGAGCGTGGAAAAGACGCTCACATTCCAATCTAGTTTATCGTTTCTGAATTTATTTCGTTTACGCCACATTAGTAGATTCAAACGATAGGATTTGGAGACCTGGTACCTAATGATGTCCACATGTTTTCATCGTAGTCATTTTCATCATGAACCTGTAGTTAAATGTGTTGTTATTGAATGAGAATAAGGATTTGAAGTGACAAAATCCAATCATGGGGTGGTTGGCGAGAGATCTCGTAGCTTTAAAGGCGCTCCTCTCCTCCGTAATCCGTGCGATGTGCGCCATCGGATCTTCTGTTGTGACCTTCCACTGGAAATTCGTACATCCTGTTTGAAAAGATGTCTGATTAATGCCTAGTACCCACCATAATCAATTATGCATGTGTAAGATTAACATGTCTCTCGCATAATTTAGCTCGGTATTTTCCATATGATGACCCATCTACTCCTACGTTTTACTAGGTAAGCTCCTTCTCGCATGATGTTGTACAAATTGTGGCACGTGTCAACAATATATTCCGGATTGTAAATACCGTAAGTTTGAACTTTAATCATTATCTACCTCACTTGTGTATAAGTGGAAAAATGTAGTAGACGGTAGACTTTCTTGCTGATTGGTCATACTTTGAAGACCAGTCGAATCACGGTAGTTGCACGATTTTAACGAAGTTACAGTCTGTTTCACACGACTTGATTTGTCAAAGTCACTTTTAATTGGCTGAAATTTGACTAAGATTTAATTGTTGCTTTTGGTGCTCAATGAATAATGGGACAATTTGCCAATTATCAAATGGAAAAATGTCAGCAAGATATAAGCTCGTGATTTGACTGCAGCGAAAACAACTTATGTGTAGAAGTGCAGAAGATTGTGCAAAGTGGACAAAGATTTCATCGGAGAAACTTGATGTCAAATGTCTAGCTCCAGGAAGTCTTCAATGATTTCTCGATGCCAGCATTCAAAATTTAGTCAAAATGAAGGCATAGTATTTGCTCGATTTGCAATGTGCCAATGGTTAATAAATTTTACGTTTGAGTTTAGGCAACTAAAAGGTTGTTGTGGGATTTGAAGAATCTTTCATCACGTCGGGATTACCAATTGTTGTGGGTCCCAGCTTGTGGTTTTGAGCCGCGCCGGAGCCACTGAATTAACCCTGGCCCGATTACGCTTCCATGACACCCCCGATGAAGAGAAAGACCGGAGAGGACGTGGCCACAACCGTTTACTTCAGAGCTCAACCACGTTGGTGTCGTTGTGTCGTGGGTGGCATTTGCGCTTGTGTATTTATGCCTCAGATGTGTGAGTCATACATGCGCTAACATCGAGACCTAGGTGTGAGGATAATCCAAGATAAATATTCGTGCGAATGAGGGGGGAGTTAAGGCTCCGCGCGGCTGGCGACATGCTGCGAAAAAGGGAACCCTGTGTCGGAGGATGGAGCGACTGGATTAAGGAGTGTGTATTACCACAATTCACAACATTGTAGTTTGTGTCAGTAGCGACGAAGCCTTTTCTTTTAGTTATTAGGATGTGATTGCCTACTCGTTGAATTCTGTCATGGTTTTGTAGTCTCCGTTATGCTACAGCTATCTTAATGCAGTTTTGTTTACACATTCAGCTATTTGCTCAATTCAATGTGCGATTCGTTGTGGTGGGCCTACAGATTTGGGAAAAGAATCGGGTGAATCTCGAAGCAGAGGAGCATTTATTGAAAACACTTGCCAGCTTTAAGCGTACCGATGTGGACGTCCGTCACGATTGCCTGTTTGCCCTACTGTAAGTACTGATCTAAAGTTTCGTTTTTTATGTGAAATTATCCGTAATCGCAGTGGCGTGTTAGGATGTAAGATTTTTCACCGGTTGACTCGTGAGGTGCTTTTGCCTATCTTGGTTCATTCGGAGCCCCGTGACATGATAATCGATGAAGAGGCATTTACATTCCTTCTTGTAAATGGGGACCCTAGTTGGCTAACATCCTTTTAGTGTAGGAGTAATGTCTACTCACAGGGAAAGCACCAATTCAGGAAGCATTCAGGAACATAGCTTGTTGTAATTAATAAAATTTGATGGGGCACCCGAATGCTTATCTTGAACAATTGTAATAGACGGGCATCACTTTTGTAAAGACCTGCTAACTACTTGTTCAAAACTTGCTTATCGACATTGCTAAGTTTTATAAGAATTCAAAAATGTTTTGATTTTTAGCGCTTAAATCATGGTGTAAATTCTAGCGAAAATTCCTGTTTTTACTGGATCGCTTGCTCCTATGAATTAGGGACGCGCTTGGTGATCTCCAAAATAAATGTTCTATTTAAGTTCGGTTAGAACTGAATAAAACCGAAGATTGTTGTGAAGTTGCAATTTGAATTCGAGTGTTGTAAACCTCCTAAGGCGATTGGAAAATTGTTTGTCGCGACGAGATCATTTTCATAGCAGGATGCTATCTTACTTTTCCCAATATTCATCTGTTTTTCAGTGGTGACACTGACCAAACCTCGACTACCCGAGGACGAGCTAACAAAGAAGTCATGTGCAAATATTCGTCATGTGTCTCCTTTGTCCGGGTAATTAATTTCTCTTTGCCCTCATCTATTGTCTTGATTGAATTAAGGAGATCAATGAGTGGCCTCTAGGTTTGGCTTCGTCGACTAGTGACCTTTTTGTTGACCTTTTACGCCCACATTCACTCCCTCCGTAGGAGAGAGGAGCAATGCAGCCTCCATTCCTTTCCCTCCTCATGCGTTTGCAGCGGTTCGTTTCTCTGCTAAAATTGGAGGCCACGTGTTAGCATGGTCCATTAGCCCTTCTGACTGAGAATTCAGCAATGAAACGTCAGAACGTGGCTTTGTCGTAACGCATCAGGGTTTTTTGCGTCTGTTCAAATCTGATGACCGAAATGCTTGATTTACGCCAAACACGCCATTCCGTAGAAGTACATAGCTTTCGAAGTCGATAAATCCTTCGATAGCCTGACCTTTTCCCAACTCGAGTTAATCAAATCCACGGCAGTTTGTTGATGACTCATCCCGGGCACCAACAACTTGGGCTGAAACCGATGCAGGGTGTACGTATTATGTCGAAAATGTCGAAGGCACAAATATGAAGGGTTAGTTGCTAATGACATAAATTCTAGGAAAACTCGGCCAAAGCCTTGCATTTAAATGGCACACACTCCCGAACTCTGCCCTGGTTCACTCAAATGTGGCAGGAACAAGCCTTCAGGTGACTTACGCTAAATAATTTCCCTAAAATAAATAGTTCTTTTGATGCTGTAGGCATGTGCTGGACTTTGTGTAAACTTTCGTTAATCAAATAAAGGGAGCAAGGGCGGTAATGTGATCGGTACTTTACTGTATTAGGAAGTAAAGCGTCCCCGAAACGATATTCTGACGCTGTGAATAAGTGTGACAGGTTATTTTCATTCAACAATGGCTATGTCACTTTGCGTATTTCATCCTCTGATTCATGTTCATTCCACAGTCTCGCCGAAATAATGCCCAAATGTTTACTTCAACGAAAAGCAACTTTTAGGGACATTTGTAGGTCCACAGTGTCCAAGAGTTTTCGGGAACGCTTGCATCATGGAACCCTTTTGGAAGTAGAAGGTCCAGTCTCGAAAAGAATTCACAACCGCAAATCAAATAGCCCTCCAAACCTGCATTCTAACCCGATTCTTGTTTTAAGAAGTATGATTAGTGCAGACAATGACCTAAAGGCTCATTAGAGTCCTCGCTTTCAAGCACGATGCATCAACGAGGTTATCCAAAAGAGAGTTTAAAATGTGATTGTTATGTGGTTTTAGAGCTCTTAATCCGCCGATTAGGGGATGTTTCGTGATATGAACCTCAACTCTCAGGAAAAATATTTTGACCTCTGCTATTCAAAATATTTGATTAAATGGGTCTACAAACCTAGAATCGAATAAGCTTAAAGGATAAGGAAAATTGTCATGATATTCAGCTCATACTTTGTCACTACAGCAGCAATAGTCATGCGGCCAATTCTATTGCTTCATTACTGGAGGACTGCACCAGATTTTTGTTAGTACACATCCAATTACCAAACCACTTATTAAAGTGCTTTGTGTCCAGATGTTGCTTTCGCCACTACAATTGCTGTAATGAATAATCAGGCTTTATTGCAATTTCTCGCGTTTTAGGTAGCAATTAAATAAGGGGCTCTGTTGACCGAGCATTGTTAGTTTTAAAGAAGTCGCCATGTTGCGCAATCGTTTCGTGCCACTTTTTCCTTTTAACGAACCAATTTCTAGCCTCGGATCGAGTTGATTACTGGATGATGTCAACTGTCGAATCTCACGTCCGGTCTCCCACTTATGTGCACTTTTGAGTTTGGGTCTCTCACTGAACTCTGTGAGCTGTATGGCAGTAAAACACATGTTTCGAGACGTGCTTCGAAACTTGGGACTTGAATTTCTCTGTCTAATTGAATAATCCCACCACATCCTCATAACTTCACTGCGCAGTGGCTCCTAGCAAAATCGCAGTGTTATCAAGACGACCGTATCGTTACCTGTCTCGGTTGCGACGGAAAAGCTTTACGTTATTTTGAAGTTGTGCAAAATCTGTTTGCTAAGCATCGTTTGCCGAGTTTCCTTCACCAAGTCAACTTTGCGGCGGGAAATTTTTTTATAAAAATGAGCTTCACATTTGCAACGATAATGATGATGGTCTAGCAAGCCTCCAACATTGCTGGAGCATTATTAAGATATCAAAGGTTTAAGCACAGTTACTTGAATTGACTGGTCATGGCTAAATTGCGCGTCTGGTCATCCATGGTGCCTCAAAGAAAACATGTGAATTTACCTATGTTGACGGTTCCTTGAGAAGACGTGCGATTGGAACCGTTCAGGTACTTTGTAATTTCACCTTTGCTAGGCACAACTTGTGGGTCAAATTCAGGTCATTCTTTAAGTGAGTCACCGGTACAAAGGAGGTCGTGGCAGTGCTGCTCTTCTGTCTTCTGACTGCAAGTTTACTGCCATTCTTTCACGTCTTTTAGGATTCACAGTACATGGAGGTGCACGAAACGGCTCGAACAGCGGCCCACGAATTAGGTCACAATTTCGGCCTCAGGCATGACACGGAAGAGTGTGAGTGCCAGGGCTGCATCATGGCTACTGGTGTTGAGTAAGTTCACTTTTGAGTACGTTGGGGTTTTTGATAGAAGAGCCAAGCCATAATTTAAGAGTTAGTGAGTTGCCTATTCATTTATATAAACGGTCATGATTTCCCACTAAGTGATCAAACAAAGAAGTAATCCCCTATGGTGAAACGGAAAAGTGTTTCTGATCCTTAAATTCTACGTTCTAATATCTTCAAGGATATTCTTCCAAAAAAACATACACCTGTTACCCATCTTTTTTGTTCCTAAATTCGTAATCTGTAGATTACTTGTTGGGTATCAATTGAAATTCGGCCTAATAATGCTTAAAGCTCTGCAGTACACAAAAACTACTCCTATGTTGACATGCATATGAATGAAAACAGCCTGATCACTGAGGTTTCAAGTATCTTTTCTCATTTTTGGCAATGCACATTAGGATGTCTCGTGAGAAACCGCAACTCTGCTTTATTCTTTAGTGATCCTGTCAAACTTACAATGTTTGTGCAGCTCCTAGTTTAGCGATTAACATGGTAATAAACTTCTCATCTTGATTGCAAATAATTGTGGCTACCAAATTGCAGATAAGGTGTGCTTGTGAATTCCAACAGGCTGCCCAAAGCATTAAAATTACTTTATTCGTGGCGACATTAGTGTCAAAAGGTGTTGTTTATGTGCTTCAGCAAACTGCGTCTGAACCCAAATGTGGACCCTAATGATCTAAAAGTTTCCTTCTGTTTATAATGTCATCGAAGATGCGCAATAGTCAACGAATGCTTTATTTCTATTGTGCAAATATGCATGTATTTTAGGTTTGGAACAACAACGATGGAGTGGTCTCCCTGCTCCATCCGTGATATGCCAAATCTCCTTCATTATGGAATGGGAGCGTGCCTTCATGATACACCCGTGAATTCACATTCCAGTATTCTACCACGCCAATCCAGAAGGCTTGAAGTCAATGGGCCGAGTATTGTTCATGTCTACACCTCGAGTAATTCTCGGCGAGGCACTCCCGAACTGCTCCAGGCGGCTCCGAGAGCAGTGAAGAACTCCCTCTGCGGAAACGGTAAACTCGATCCCGGCGAAGAGTGCGACTGTGGAACTGTGTAAGTGACACTTACAAGGGCAAAAGCTCGTCGTATAGTCAGTAATGAGGGTAGTACACATTTGCGACAGCTTGTTTGGCTTTCGGTAGATAAAGGGACCTAATTCACGCTTATTAAGGTATGTGGTACGTTCCTGACATATACTAATACGAGAATACACTGGCGGTCATCGGTTTGCTGGCAATACTGAACAAACGACTTTCTGTTGTTGTAACAACATATTTCGTTAAAGCGTGTGAATGTGAAGGTGTTGATGCCATTGGCTAAGCAATTCTTTCGATTGTCCGAAGGATTTTCAAGGGATTCAGACGACGGCCTCAATGAGTAAGGCCTTTGATCACTTGTTTTCAGCACGTTCTAGGTGAAATGTGGGTCAGGTTTAAAGCAACCGAGATTCGGCTGCGTAAACTGAACTAAGTGCAGCATTCTAGACATGTAACCACAAATCGCATTAAATAATATTTATAACATGGATTCGGTAATCAAAGGCTTTAGTTGAAAATTTCATTGAAAGGTTGCCGGCCAGTTGAGTCTTTTCCTCCAGACAGTTTCAAAATAACTCAAATTTGATGTGATAATGTACATTAAAAATAGCTCATGGTGTAATTCTTGATAGTTTTGATAGATTCGAATCAGCTACCTAAGAAAATATCATTTTTAGAATATGCAGGAATGCACTCACCTCAGCGTTAGTTTTGTGCGTTTTAATTATAAAACGGACATAAAAAAGTTAAGAAGTATTTTGTAGTTCTGTGAGGAATTTTCGTGGTCATCGAACGTTAGTGGGCAGGAGTCTGATTGGATGTGAGCCCAAGTTTTGAAATCTCCTCGGTTGAGCAGACGTAAAGTGTATCTTGAGATATTTCTTCCCGCGTTTAATACATACAAAGTATTTGCTAGATGACGGGTTTTATAAGCACTATACTATGTTTGCTGAGGTTTGCCGTAACTGAATAACTCCTGTTTCCCCTTGCCATCCAACATTGCCTCAACCACCTGGTTTTTTACACACATGAAAAACGTCTAGGAATAAGTGTCATTTGCTTACGTTAACAAACTGAGGTGAGCTGTACTTGGGGTATGCGAATTTATGAATCTGAACACTGGCATGATAGTTGGCGGTAGCTTCCACCCGACACGCTCGATTTTAATTGCAACCGGTGAATTCGCAGCTGCGTGGTAGGGCAGCTGCTTTACACTCCTTTTGTTCGTTGACACTTACAGAAATCAACTACAAAGAGACTGCCGCAAGGGCGGCACTACAAGGCAAACAATACCACTTTCTTACCCACTAGGCACAAGTGTCCGTCTGTTAAAGTAGTGGGTCAATATACAAAATGACGTTCATGGGTCTTTTGAGCATATTTTATCAGCACAAACAGATGCTCTCAGTTTTTCAGCTTGAGAATCGGTTGGTTGCATAAGCAAGTAGTCTTGGGTCTACAGCGAGGAGATTGATCAATAACATGAGCAAACGCTCCTGGATTGGCTACTGAACCGATCTCGTTAGAATGTGGCGATAATTCATCACTTGCTGCTAACTATTCTCTGCATATGCGGCCTACTTTCACACTTCCATGCCAGTTGGTTCTCTGAGCCGGTTTTATCCGACACAAGCAGCCATGGTAAAAGTGGTTGGGTTTAGACATGTTCATGCGGAATTTCCCGTGTTTTTAATATCTACTGTATGTACTTGGAAGCTGGTTCAAATGTTGGTCCTACTGGTGTTGGTCCCCGATGGTGGCTTCGCTGTGACTAGTGCCGCGGCAACCGCTTCTGCTTCCATGAAGGTCATTCGGTTTAAAATCATGTAGATACGGAGATCTTGGTGTTGCACACTATCAGTGGCTAACCAACCTCGCTAAACTGGGCAAATTAGTCTCTTATTATTATTATTTCTCTCTACAGTCATTGTTTTACTATTATGGGCAATTCAAATATTTTATCCACATTCGCTGCAAACTACACTTCGGCTCATGCACAAAAGGGAATATTTGCGTCGTTACGTCAGTACCAAATGGCTATTCGGGCAATTACCCGCTTTACCTCCACCTAGCAGGGGGAGATAAAGCAGGAAATTTGGGTTCCATTTGGGCTTAACATTTGCGCCGTTGATTGGTGGGGTTTTGTGGATTTGCGGGTTCATCCGGGTAGCATGTGTGTGGACGCGGTGCATTGGCGGTGGCTTACGGGCCATGTGCATCAATTTTTAAGCCCCCACATTGTAGGTGCATCGCAAGTAGTGTAACCTGACCAGCCTTTCCTGTTATCGTAGCTTTAAATTGCTTCGACTTTACAATTGTCCGATATGGGGATGTTTTGTCTGTGAAAACCACGTTGGTGTTGCATACTTTGAGCCCCAGTGGGCTTCGAAATATGCGGTCTGAAAGTTGTGCCTGAACATGGAACACTTTTTAAGTTACCTGTAAAACCCTAGACCTGATTTAGTCTCCGGTCAAAGTACACGCCCGAGTCGTCTTTTTTAGATCTAACTGTTTGTCAGAGTGCTCCACATCAGGCGCAGTATTTTAAGGTGGAATTAAATGCCAAACTACTTTGATCTGTCTATAATCCTACACACTGAGCTGGAAGACGCGTAACTGGCAGTTCAACTACACGCAAAAATGTATCTGCTACATTTTGTTATGAAAATGATGGTTCTTTGTAGGGATACATGTCCCAAGGATGTTCAGTTATGCTGTGATGTGAAAACGTGTCGTCTCCGTGATGGAGCCGAGTGTGCGACCGGCTCCTGTTGTGATATTCAATCTGTCTTCGGTGATACTTCCCGGACCACGTGCAAGCTTAAGCAGAGGGGCTCAGTGTGTCGCGAGGCGGGCAACTCTTGCGATCTTCCTGAATACTGTGACGGGGTGTCAGAGTGGTGTCCCGCTGATTTCTTTAAAACGGATGGGGAAGCCTGTTATACTAAAGAGGGATACAAGGTTAGTGTTTTGTCCACAAATTATCCATTTTACCACTAGGCAATTACCTGGATTCCGCTTATTGCTACATGCGTATTGAAAAATCCTAACCTCGCTCTTGAAAATTGTAAACTGCATCATTTACACCTTTTTGATTTAGCAATCCTCGAGCATCCACAACGGAACTGGCAATAAGTCGTAAATCTATTATAAGTCGGGTTTAACCTTAAGTTTGCACCAAAGCGCTATTCACATAAAGGGCTTTACGAGAATTTTCCATTGAGTAGTAGATGGAGACGTTTACTTTCATTCTTGTCATACGGCGAGTCTATTGAATTCGATGGTAGTTTGAACCTTCCCATGCACAGTGTGGTGTATGCGTAAACAAGCAGGGCAAAGGGTCTTAATTCTAAACCATCGGGTGCATGTTTCATGCACGAAACTTGGCCTGCATTGACCACGTTTTAAGGACCATCTTACCAAAAGCGGGGTACTTTGCAACCAATACACTTTCCTTGGAAATTAACGAAGACTACGTGGCACTTTCGAGGACGAAGATGCTACTTCAAAGGTTGTTTTAAACGCCTCTGGCTGGTCTAGTAGTAAGCACTACTGCCTTGTCTCTCGTTTTTTCACCGCCAGATGGGTTTTGATGGTGACTGCCTTCAGCAGTTCCCACTGACACAGACCAACTAATGATAATTATACACTGCACGAAAGTGTGTTACCTAGTTGTAATGTATGGTTCCGTTGACGCGTACTCTAGATATGCTTATATTTTGGTGCATCGATTTCCCCGACAAGTAGAAGCCAAGTGAAGCATTGTCCAGCAGAATGTTATTGCATTCTACTAGGTTTTGTTTGCACTGTTATCATTTTGCTGCTATAGTCACTAAATCAGATACATGAGTTGTGTGTGTGCGTGTTTTAGTCGCACTGCATCCGCGGGGGTTGCAATGCCCCCGATGAGTGGTGTCGTGTGCTCTGGGGCAACACGGCGACGGCAGCCGGCCCCGGCTGTGTTGAATACAACCTACTGCGAAACCAAAACCAGGCCGTCGATGATGTCGCAAATTGCGGGCGTCTTCGACCGCAAAGTGATGAGCGCTGGAAGGAGATGAGTCAATGGCCCCGCAAAGCCTGTAAAGACTGGTAAGCACTATGTGACAAGTGATTATTTCTCTCGTCCTTAGCATCCAATACTTGTTAACTAGAAGATTCTGCTCTCACAGCTCGCTGTCAACGACTTGTCGCACCGACGTCTCATAAACTCTGGTGAATCCTCCTGTATCAGTTTGGTTTGGCGTTCATGAAACGGACAATTTTGTAATTTAGGCTATCACTAGTGAAGGCAGATGCCTTCGTTTGCATGTAGAAAATATCTGCACATTTCCACCTTCACCCCTACTGAGTTCCTTCGATTATTTTCAACTGCGTGACTGTTGATTAAGTTATGGCCCAGGCGCCCTGTTGAATTAAACAATACCCACCTACATGACTCACATCTTATATGGTCTATTACCCTCGGGCTTGCAAGTGTGAGCAAGTATTCCCGACGTCACATTATTCTCTAATTCTGACTGATGATCAAAAATGATTTCAGAGATCATTTTTTTACGATTGCTTCTTATTACAAAAACTATTTGCTTGTGATGCGTGAGTTCGTAGTATTGGCGTTTCAAGGCTCAATGGTGGACGTGAGTCGCGCAATTCCGCTATGGTGATCTCAATTAAGAACAAGCAATTGCATCCGTCATTCCGTTACTCCAAACGGCGAGCTTGGAAATAAGTACAGATTTTAAAATCAGTTAGTGTTTGTCAATGACCCTAAGCCTTCTGTTTTGTTTATTTTGGTAGGGCTGATGCAGAATGCGGTCGGCTGTGGTGCACACACAGGAATGAGAAGGCGATGCTGATGGGCTGGCAAGAGCAAAAGCGGCGTGTCGACCCGCATTCACAGAGGACGTGCGTCGCCTTGGTCTACGATCCAGTTGATCCTCTCCAACAGGACGCCATCTCTCAGAAAACGGGCTACCCTAGTCCGGGCTGGGGCGATGCTGCCTCCGTCACACAGGACGCCGGAATGGTCCCAGACGGAACACCCTGCCAGAGAGGCGTAAGTTTATCCTGAGTTGCCTGCTTCACGCCAGTGTTACACGCATCCACTGTGTCGCTTGTTCCGGTCTTGTGAATGTAATTTTACCTAAAAATGTCGAAACTAAAGTAGCCTAATGGTGGTTACCAATTTACTGTTTATTACTGAGATTTCGTAAAGTTGAATTGGCTTTGCCCGAGTTTAAAAAGAGATAAACTGTTCTTTTCTTAATTATACGTGGTAGGTCCGGTCGTAGCACTAACCTACCTCTCTCTAGATTGGAGTTGAAAAGTTGATGACCCAAGACTTAGACGTCACTAGCTAACCTCTGGTGCTGTCCTGAGTTAGGGCGAAAAGTACTCGCAACGCCCCCGAAACAGGGCTTCGCTCGTGGTGCCTTTCACCTCCTGATTTCGTGACTAAATCGATCACTTGACGATCATAAACACTTTTAGTAAATTCCATCTTTTGGGCTCTTAACAAAAACCACTTGGAGAGAATAGAGCGTGGCTTATATTTGCAAAACAAATTGGATGGCTAGGTGTTTATGACTGTTGGTAACGATCTGTGTAGAAACGAGCAAAAAGGGAGACAAACCACGGCCTGAAATACAGAATCAAGTAAGCGTGCGTTTAGCAGAAGACTGGACTTACAATTGACGCCTTCGCCAATAAAACGCCATTGTGACATCAAATCGTAGTTCGAACAAGTCAGCTTTCGGTAAGTTTCAAGTGCGTTTCGTGACGGCCAGAAGGTAGATCAGGAGGTTCGCGACCATGGCCTCCTGTAACAATAAAGAAATTACACACAAGAACCACAAATTGGCTGCACCTACAAGGGTACTTTGAATTTAAGAATTCTAAGCAAAAATGAAATAATCTTATGTGACGATGTTTCGCCGGAGTGTTTTCTAGAAATTGTTCGACACTCAACTTGCTGTCCGCTTGCCTTCAATTTACTTTTTTCCAAAATAAAATAGCACATTAAGCGGATGAAATTAGTCTTTGGAGAAAGCAAAGCATTGATTTTGAACACATTAAAAGAGGATAAGGCTTCAGGATTCCTTACAAAGGGTTACAGAGGTGACTTCGAGGGTCTTTTTAATTGAATGTTTGCGTTGAAAGAAATACACCTTCGTAGAAAAAATCTGTACTTGTAAATGAAATCTTTGTTCATTTTGAAATGTTTAACTTGCATTCGTGTGTTCTGCGTAATATTCTTCTAGTGTTAACAGTGTGGTACTTTAGTTTTCGGTAGAATTGCTATTCCTCTTTGCTTATTTCAGCGGACTGCATGCTCACGCATTTCTTTTTTAGGAAGCTTTTAGAGGTTTACGCCCAGATTATTTTATCTAGTTTCAAGTTTTGAGTGCGCTATGTGTAAAATTCACTTTTTGAGTACCACTTCTTCAACAGATGTGCTACAATGGAACCTGCATCGGGAAAGATGACCTCCCATTCCGGAAGACCTGCAATTGCAATTCCAACGGGGTGAGTGAGGCTCATTTGCTTATTGGTATATTATGCCGAAGTAATGAATGTCCATTTCTTTGCTATTCTTAGGTGTGCAACAACAGGGGCAATTGTCACTGCAACATCGGCTACGCCCCACCAGACTGCACGCAAAGCGGCAACGGGGGGTCGATTGATAGTGGACCGCCGCCTCCCTGTAAGTCGCCTAAAAAGACTGCTTTGTTGCAGTCTGCTTTTGCCACGATTAAATCGCGGCCCTCTTCTGTTATACCCACCAGCAGACTTTCTTAACTTGCACTCATTCTGGAAGTCAGTGCACGTTGCTTTCTGTGCTATCAATTTCCTATTCCCTACGACACTGTTGTGCTATTACCAGTTGTCAAAACTGGAAATCACGCACATTCGGACTATCTGTGCACCTTAAATGTTCTATGGTATGAGCTTACGGGAGGACTGGACAAATGACTCCAATGTCTGTAGTGTGTTGAATTGAAGATAAAGTGCACTTTCCCCTATCGTCACAACTTGTAACTGAAGCTAAATAATCCAGACGATACTCACAGAATTGCCGTTTAGAGGTTGTCTAGGTCACCTTAGCCTCGTCTGTGAAATGATATTATACTTTGCTGGGTTTGTCACTGATGTTTTATGACCTCGACTGTTTTTACAATCAATTGGTCTCTGAGTGCTAGGGTTTATTCTGACCTCGCATCAGCTGTTGCTAATTTTATGTTATTCCGAACACAGTTGACCTTTGTCGTTACCCTTTCCGTCTAGCATGGTCTAGACTACTTTTTGCAGGATAATCAATTCGGTTGGTTTCTCTATGTGTGTTGGAGATCCAGCATTCACCAGGATGGCTCATCGCATGTCAGGATTTCGTCATTGTTTACTCAGTTATCTCAAACACGCCACTTCAAAGAGTTGCCCACGCCACCCTACCCTACTCACAGCCTTGATCCATCAGTCAAAGTTATCGTTGACTAACATAAGTGGGCACATTAAGACTGACTGACACATTAAGAGCTCTCTATAAGAGGTCCTGCCTTGTCTTACACCAGAGTGGGAAGATAAGGGCTAGCGTCAGACAAGGGATCTGGGGTGCCGGTTATCTGATGTCAGTTTGACTTTGTTAAAAAATGTACCAATGGCGAACCAATTGTTGGTAAATCGTTACGTCTCAAAAGGGGGAGAAGTGCCATAGTTGGAGACCAGCAGATGAAGCGCTGGAAGTGTAGACGCCTTTCTTTTTATTCTTTTTGCGTCCATTTGTGCTCATCTTACAGTACTTACGTTTGATGGCATCAGCAAAACACCTTGTACGATCAATAGTAGCGCGTTGTAATACCATGTCAGAATGCCGAAGCAAAAGTTAGAGTGCCTCAGGTTAGTCATAAAGAATGCCAGCCTAAAACTACGAATAAATGTGGATTATTCACTTTTTTTAAATTTTAGCATGGCACAAATATGGCTTCATATTCGCCTTGTGCTTCATAGTATTTATTGTCAGCCCGGGCTTCCTGATCTTTATTTGCTGTCTGCTATGCCAGTGCAAGAACAGAAGGCTCGTTTGCCCTCAATCTGGTCCCCTTCCACCCCCATCTTCTTACGGAGAACCATTTGACTGTGCTGATTTTGCCAAGTCCATTGGGTAGTTTTCCCATTTGTAAAAACCGAACTACTTAAATGCTAGTAATAGGAGATTAACTTTTCTTTTCAATACCTAGGCGATTTTGCCGAAAGTGCAGGCCTCAATTTAACAACGACCCGCCGGTAATCATTGCCTTCGGGTCGCCGGGCCCCAAGGCAGTGATCGAGAGAGGGCACTATTTCACTGCTAACGGAAACGTCAAAAAGGGCCCCGGTGTTGCCACGCAAAACGGGGACTCCGTGAAAACTGCCCTCACAAAAGTGAAGGACAAATGCCCACCAATCGGCGCCAGCACAGTTATTGCAACCGATTCGCACAACTTCTCACCGAGGACATTTCGTCGAGAACTTGTCAAGGAGTTTGGATCCGATCGGAAAGTACCGGGCTTCTTAAGGTGCGATGAATTTGTTTTAACTTCTCTTTCGTGTAAAGAAGCCCTTAAAAGGGCTTGTCTCCCTTCTGGTCATTGCAGTGGTGATTTGGATAATGCCTTTTTCAGAGATCTAGAGGCTGCATGGGAGGCTGCTGAGCGAGAGGCGGGCGTGTTGAAGCAGCCCTCCGGTTCGCCTCCCTCCGGGTCCAATACAGGCGGCTGTGCACGCGTGGAGATCTCAACCCCACGTCTCGAGAACACGACCTTTAAGGGCGAGATGCAGTCTCTCGCGTCGGCCGTCCGCGTCCAGCAGCAGGTGGCCGCACGCCGTTGTCCAGCTGGCGCGACCCCGCGTCGACACCAGGCCCCACCAATCACTGCGTTTGACGAGGTGAGGGGGAGGCAGGCGACCGAGAGCGCATCCGCGCAAGCAAACCAGTCAGATAAGCCTGACATCTCTGAGCCCACCCTTCAGACATGCACGTATAAACACGGACTCATGGAACTTCCCGAGGCCTATTCAACACTAAAAAATCCCAAAAAGGGAAAAAAGCCTAGACCAACAACTGGACACACTGTTTCACAGCCAAAGCGGTAACGAGACCCTGCCTTCCATTGCGATTACTTCTGCATTTCTCCCGAAATCTTTCCACCTAATCTGAGAACAAGGCCCATACATCCAGATGAAGGAACATTCCACAATCTTGTGAGTAGTCTGATTATGCCACCATGGCTATTATTTTTCTCCAGTCCGGCGTATCACAATGTCTTTCCCAAATTAAGAACACTTTTGCTTCTACGCCAGCATTATCAACAAAAGATGAACAAGAAGTCTAGGGAAACGTTTTATGTACTCCAAACTATTCCAGCGACCTGCTTACTTTCTTGCCCTCCACTGAATACTAGCGCTCTGCTTGCGTTAACCTTGCTTTGTGGTTTTTTTCTCTCTTTTTTACAACTACCTGTGTATGTACAATCACGACCCATAGGTGATTTGATGTTTGATGTTGGCTGGGATGCAAACAGCCACATAACAACTAACTAAATGTACGTGATGAAAATATATAGATCTCTTATCTTGCAGAAAAAGCCCGACAACTCTGACAATAATGCTCAAGTTGCGCCTACTGAGTAGAGGTTTAGGCTTAGTAACGTCCCCGGCTATCAAGGACAGTTTTTAGTTCCATGCAGTGCGTCGGACACAACCGATAACTTCTAAAATAACGTATCAGATAAGATTTACAACGCAAAAAGCATTTTGTGACTCGACTCCACCTGAAGCGAACCCTAACAGGAGTGTTCATTGTTCTTGAGTATTGCCGCAAATCACCACCACAAGTGTCATCGAGAAAAGTTTTATTTTCTGTATATAAGTAGATGTGTACAAAGACCTTGATCTCTTGGATGGAAAGAATTGCTACTTACAAGCAATCGCGAATTCCACCAGTCTACAAAGAAAAAGGAATTACGAAATTTCTAACCTGATTTTGCCTCAGCTAAGCACATGTAGGCCAGGCCCAAATTCAAGCAATAATGAGAAGTCCAAACGCTGAAATCGATTACAAATATTCGGCACACCAAGCGGTCAAAAGAAATTGACGTCGGGCAAGGTTGTGTAAAATATGTACACAAATTTTGGGGGGACTAAGCTGAATGTAAGTTGCCTCAAGAACTTGCTGCAACCTATTGGAGTTGGTGTCGACAAATGTTTTAGGTCTTTGATGCAAATGGCACTAAAGTTCTATACTTGGTAGACGATGTACGTTCGAGATGTGAAAATCCCGTTTTGTCTTGCGATAGCCGAAGAAACATTACTCCGGGTGAGTTTAAACAACAACAAAAACCAGTGCCTCTGCAGCAGCTAATGCAAAAATCAAATACCCAACCCCCAGCAGATTAATCATTGCTGTGTACACCTTAATTTGGATCCACGTAGTGGAAATGCAGTCCCGTATCTGCCCCGCCAATCTCGCGCAGTTAATGCGCACCGAATGACCCCTCAGAATGCTCCGAAACAATGCTCAGACGGTCCAGGCTGTTGGGCTAAAGGGCTCCAAAGTATCGCGAAAAGGACACTCAGCAACGCACCGTGACCTGGTAAGTGGCGGTGCCAGGAGGGCGGCCGGGGTGCTTGAGGAGCCGGGCTGTGCGGTGTTCTCCGGCAAAGTCGTCCACCTTCGAGAGGAATAGGCGCACAGAGCAGATGTGACCCCAGCTATCTCCAAGGGCGGGAACTAGGTTGGCGCTTGTGATACTTGCTGAGTTGTTGGTGGTGGAAAAATCGGTAGACTGGTGAATTCTTGTCGTTATCTGGTTGGTCACTATTACCTAAGTGACGCAGAGCGGTATCATTGGCAAAAAATATTTGGACATACAGAAATGGGAAAACTGAGCATAGCTTAGTGTGTCTGGAAATACTCTGAGCTAAAGTGCATGTCGGGAAATTGCTCGTGAGTGGGATTCTGGAGTAGGTAAGTCGTTTCCGAGTTGGCTACAGTATTGTGGAAGAACGATTCATGAAGTACGTTTAAGGACACAAGTCGACGCTGTGTAACGTTAGGCTATTGCACAATGCAAATGCATAAAAATCAGCATTTTATCGGTGAGGGGGCAGCGGGTTAGTTATAGAGTAAACGACCACTTGCAAATTGTGTTTAATGTGTATCAGTCAATGATGATTAGATCCAAAGTTTCTTAGGGCTAAACATGAACGTTGAGAAATTTGTCGTTTAATATACGTTGGCTCTAATAATACAATGATCCTTCAAAAGTATTCCAACGTGGCGTGACGACAAAATCATTTTTTGTGCGACTGACACAGTTATGCAATTATAAATTCGGGTTTCTTCCTGTTATCGGTTACTGGCGGAGTTTTTAAGCGTGCTCGCTCTAATCAAAGTCAGACTAGATTCTTTAGAAAGCGTTCACAGATGTTTGCGTGAAGAGACAGAGATTAAAGTATTTTAGATGAAAATTGATGCATCATTCCAAAAGACCCACATTTGTGGTCCAGAATACGCAGATAAGCGCATCGGTGATTAAACAGCACAAAAATGAGTGAACGTACAGCTGCATTCTGAGAACCAGCAAGTGCAAGGAGGGATTGTGAAAGGGCAGCCAGTAAACGATTTCGTTGGGGAATGTCATCGAATTCGTAACGGAAGGGTAGGGCGATACTATCTACCACAATGAGTCTTACCTGAAACGAAAGACTTTAAACTAAACCGACGAATTTGAGCACTGGGAATCCGAGAACTTTGAGCTGACTTTACGAGATCAGAATAATTGACTTGTGTTGCACACTGAAGTATGCACAAGGAACTACATCAAACGACAAAAGAAACGAGTAATTTGGATGGGCAGAGCCGCCACTAATCACCAACTGGATTCAACAGTAGGCATTTTCGTGTTCTCAAAACTGAAGTCTGAATAAGCAGATACTACGATGGTCGTTTTGGGTAAAGCATTCAAACCTAACAACCGTTATTCATTCGAAGTAGCAGTAGTTTCGATCAGAAATTAAACGGCTTAAGATATTCACCGAATGGCATCGTTAGCATTATGCAACCCGCAACGGTTGCCTTCAGCCACCAAGTGCGACAATACATGAAGCAGATGAAAGTTTCTGGCGAATTCACCTTACATTAGTGTGATAACGGCAGAACTCTCCCAGAAGACGGACCGCTCTAAGCAATCGAAGGTAGTCGGTGCACCTGATGTAATGAATCCTGCTCAAGAGGCTATCTTCTGTGGGTAGTTCTGATAGGGCCTCAAGGCAAGCAGCCTTCTCCTCCGCATCTGCAGCGGTTTCACCTGGAGGGCAAAATGGTGAAACAGAAGCCCAGTGAAGCCACGAAACGATGAGGAGTGAAAAACCGCGTGCATAATTTCCCTAAAAGTTGGGCTGCAAAATGGGAGTGCAGCAAAACAGATGATTTTGGATGTCGTTTGACTGGTGATCGCAGCTTCGAAAATTCGACGCTGTCAATGCCACAATCACTAACTAAAGTAAAAGCGACCATAGGAGCAGCGATATAATCGCGGTCATAATTTTTTTGGAACAGCAAACATTTGAGGAAAAGTATTAAATTGGGATGAAAAGTACCCAACACCAATGTAAACTTACCAAGGCTGTCAATATACTGCAAAACACGAGGAGCAATCTTAGCCTGGCAGTGTTTCACCAAGTCCGCAGCCATCTGAAGCAAGCGTTTCGGCATGAAGTTGCCCTCCGTGTCAATAAAAACAGCCTCGCCAAACAGTCCGCCACACCAATTGGGCAACTGAACCGTAAGACAGGTTTGCAGGCTAAACACATAGCGATTATACCATTAAGATAAAACTCTACTTTCCCAACTAAAGGGTTATGAATTAAGTTTATCATATGTGGCAAGAAACTCCGGGTCAGGAATGTATACATCTAGCACCTAAAAGGAGGTCTCAGCACCAATCGTTGTCATTCATCAATCGACTTCATGTTTTGCAAGGCGGGTAAGTTTAGTTAGTTTTCAACGGCGGCCACTTGGCTGATGTAGAAAAATGAGATAAAAACCGAAACATCAGAGAATGGACTTATCAATTGAAAGAAATGCATATAGAGCTCTCAATGCGAGCGCAGACCAAAATAACATCTCCATAGACTTAAGTCACAGATGTCAGTGAGCGCGCGCTGTGCGCACCGCACGCTCAAAACACGCAGTGATTGGGTACAGCGGGCCTCAAACCGCCATTACCGCCGATCCCGTTTAGAGGGAACTTTAGAGACGCTTGTGAACAATGCTATGAGCTGAAAAAAATGTCTGTTAAGCGATGAAACTGTACAAGCTGTAATGTCTCAACTTACCAAAATTGTGTTTTTCCAACGCCGGGCTGCCCACAAATTTCAGTTATCCGCCCACATGGGAATCCTCCGTCCAGTAAGTCGTCGAAACTGACAGATTAAACAAAGGGTGTGCAAATAGTTACTTCTAGCAGTCTTCCCTTGGTGCGTGAAGATAGAAATAGCCGATATTTAACAACGCAGGTGCAATGAAACCGACTTAGGGCCAGATGGGATTTGTTGTCATTTGGAATGTATGGAAGACCGAACGCAAAGGTGGGAATGCTACCTACCTTTCGTTGCGAAGAAATTTGAGCAGGATGTGAAAGTGAATCAGGTATAATGTTGGCGGCCCGCACCCGCCCCTTAAAATGGCTATAGAATTAAAGTGTACCCACGACATCAGCATGTCCAAACCCCAATCCATCGGACCATTTTAAATGTGATTGACTCACAGATGCGTACCCTCTGATAAAACACAATGCTGATTGTCGGATCAATAAACGGTCTCATACCCGGGGTTGTTTGCTCTAAAACATGCAGCAGACGAAGAGATAAGTGATTGGATGCTAAAATAATGCTCGAGGGCAAGACAGCAGATCACATTCGTTCGGACAAATACTGTATAGATTTTTCCACAGAAAAAAAAATTTAAAACATTTTAATTAAAAGCAACAAAGTCAGGAAAAAACTCACTTCTTGGACATTGTTAAAACACCGGTAGCCGGAGATCGCTCTGGAATACTCAAATCCATGGACTGGTGATGTAGTAAATGAAGAGCGGAGTGAGGATAGAAGAGATTATTGGTGAGACAGTGTCCCGTGGCATAAATGTAGCCTATATTAAGACTACTGTATGTTTGAATGATATCTGCTACTGAGGCAGCCTTGGATCGCGGTAAATGGCAGACTAAAACGTGGGGAAATAGACACTTGAACAAACATGCAGAAGAATAAGTAGTAGTAAATCAAAATGACTAAAATAATTACGAAGGACAGTACTGCACATGACTATGACTTTAGGTGATGTAAAGGTTCCAAAATGCTCGCAAGGCTCGACTAAAAATGCAAACTCGTGGCGTGGCTGAGTGGGCTAAGTTATAAAATGGGCAGGTTAGTATCCACGGTTAAGACAATGTAGAAAAAGACTTAAATTACCAAAAACCCGACATTAATCGGTCTCTTAGATTACACTTCAGTGAGTGAACGAACACTAAGAGAAATATAATGAGGTGATTTATGGAAACAATGACGCTAATTGAATTTAAAGGTTGTAAAATCCTCAATGATTTTCCCAGCAGAAATATGATGCTCAAAATAACAAAAAAACTAGACGAAGGATTGCGATGCAAATTAGCCACGGTGTTTGCCATTAAATATTAACGACTGCATTTTAAAAAAAGACTAGATAATTGCAGATTGGCGGCATTTAAGTACACACCACATCAATACTAGCAACAGGCTTATCAACTGAAATTCTGAGATTGATGCGTTTTTATCGTTAAGATATATTAATTATACTAAGCAGTCGCTTAGCCCAGGCGTAAACAAAACAACCTTATAGCTTATCGGCGAGACCATTAACAACCAAATAAACAAACATACAGATATTGCGTTTTAGTTAGAAACTTTGATTTTAAAATGACCCCTGACTATTTCGATCACCTCCACTAACTGGAACACGTATAGTACTGATGGTTGTCTAGAAGAAACAATGCTTTTCGGTTAAAAACAAAAATTTTTGAGATAATCGTTAATAAAATTAGTCCATGTGAATGGGTGAAAACAAATCTCAAGGGATGGAAAATGTGCGACATTAATTATTAAATTGCTGGTGACAGATAGAAAAGTGACAGCTAATAATACATTACCTGATGCGATTTGTTCTACAGTTAGCCCACAGACCTCTCCGACGCTAGTATAGCCAGCTTTGGAAAAAGCTCTGAGGACTAAAGTTGGAAGAGGCAAAGTCACCAGTTCCCGAAAATCTGGATCAGAGAGCATCAGAGTTCCTTGACCATTCAAAGTTAAAGAAAATGTCATACAATAGTCAACAGATTCATCTAAATTATGCTAATTACGTTTTACACATAATTGAACACCGGAATAACAGCTTCAAGTAACTCCTGAACCTGATACATGTGTAATGCGCACCAGACACAGACGTGAAGCTGCGCTATGATAGTAGCACAACGTAATCGGGAACGAGCGAAATTCATAACTAGTTTATTGGTTAGTTACTACGAGTCAGAAACTGCTGTAAAAGGAAAAAAACTGGCTAGCTTCCAAACATATGGAACGGAGCTCGAGCCCTGGCATGCCTAAAAATATTCCTCAACAAAATTTCCTACTAATTGTGGTTTTTCTTGCATAAGTAAACGAGGCAAGATTTCTAATACGAAATTCGCAACAATAGAGTATGTTTTCCATGCTCGAAAGCACGGAAAAGTCGCAGGACTAAAATGCATTTTACATGAAATGATAAATAGGTAATAGTTTTCTGAAGGGCAAACAAGCAGTTACTAACGCCCGAAAAAAATTATTAGATATCCATTTGAAAATGACTCCAAGTATTGTACAGTTAAGGGGCATAATGACACTAATAAAACCCGTATTTCAAATTGTGACTAAGATTACAGTTCTTGGATAACAAAAAATACTTTCCGAACACCACTTAGATTTAAAACACTCCTCTAAAAATGTAGGAAAACGGCAACGATCTTTGCAGAGACTTAAAACACCCCTTCAATGCATTTGCGGGTTACTTTGATGTATTTAAACGTCTATCTACCCCTCACGGATAGGTAACAATGGATTTCTTAATATGTTCCATTTTTCGAAATCCAATATAAAATTGAACTGGAAATTTTCAAAACTGTAAAAACAGCAATAGTGAACAGTATATCCTATTTTTTTGGTTTTGAATTTTAATTTATGGAAATATGATGGCGTATGAAAAAAAATGGATACTGGCTAAAAGTGCGAAGTAAGCACTTATGGAGATGGTTTGTGGCAGAGTTATGCACTTGTAGTATAACTGGCAGCAGATACACGAGTTTCTGTTACACGGCGAAGGAAATCAAATTTATAATTGCCCTGATGTTATGTGTGTCTGAAGACCTTACATATTCACCTACATTTTAAGCAGGTTATCAGTGCCACAATATTCAATTTGCAAATCTCGAAAAAGAGACTTTTGGAAATTATTTTGGTGATTAGCTGGAAAAACCGAATTTATAAATTCCTCGATTAGAGATACAGATTTCATATGAGGACAGTGAATAGCATAATGCTACTGTTTAGACACGCGAAATTCACAACACAGCTGTTCCTTTTTCCTTTAATGCAAAATTTTCATTTATATAGAATGTCGCTTGAGTTCAACCATTTACATGACCTGGTAACATTAAGCCATGGCAACAATTGATATGTTGCGCATTTCACTGTAGGAAAAAGTGCTTATAAGAAATATTGTCAAAGTGATTGCTAATATTGGCAAAGCAGATTGTTGTAGTGCTTTTAGAATGAGGCTTTGATTTCTGAAATAAATGTAGGACATTGTGAAATGTTCCGAATTTCCGTAAGCCTGCATTTTTTACAATTACGTTATAATAGTCGTGCAAATAAAACAGCATTCGTAATTACCTTCGACCTGCGTACAGTTACATCTACGGGCAAAGGAGAAGTCCATGGCTAACCGTTTTTTCCTTATTTCCATCTATAAGTAGCTAAAGTACCGCGATCTTAATGTTTTTGAGAACATAAAACTAACACAAAGTGTGTTACGTGGTTTTCAAATTTTTAAACTAGAAGGAGGATATGCATCTGCTTCTGTTACCACTATTTACTAGTGTATCATTTTAAATATTGTTTTATAAACATAATAAGTCAGATGAAAAATCATGCGGAGACCCATTAAGATAACAAGTAGTCAAAACACACAAACACGGACTTCTTAACTGAGACAAAGTCCAACGCATCGAACACTATATGTGGAAGGAGCGGACTAACTTTACGCACTTGCAAGATGGATTTATGACTGATTTTGTGCATAGGTTATATTATACGTGAATATGCCTTTTAGCTAGTATAATTTTCATAAGTACTGGTCGACCAATGTGATTTCGAGATAAGGTTTGCAAATGCAAATATATATGCAAACATTGGAGAAACGGTGATTGACGGTTTGCGGCCTTTTAAAACATTTCAAGTGAAAACAGACCTCATTAAAATTTAGAAAAAATAAACCAAGTTAGTTCATGATAAAATGGCTACTTACTTAAAGAAGAACACTAACCTTACTGCGACCCCCGAAAATTTATGAAAAAATCCAGAAGCTCAGAATTTGTCCAATTTATTGTAAATCAGACATTACAGAAATGAATCAAATACGTGGTTTTGAATTCACTGTAATCAAAAGGATCATGATCCAACTCTACTTCCCATTATGTAAACAAAGTTACTCGATCATTAATATCTATGACATTTTCAAGCTAATTGCTTCAGCTAAGTGAAAATTATCTAGTGATGAAGTGCGCAACACGACTTTATTTTCAAATCGACAAAATAACTGTGTGAGGCATTTGACGTGGATCACATCAACAACTGCCTTAAATGTATTGATTCATCTGTGTGGCATAGAGGTCATGTAACTGTGCATCCACAGACCTTGTTTATTTGTAAGCGCAGAGTGCGTTAGTAAGCTGGTGAATGAAATAAACTATGAAGCCGACTAGCATGATTAGTATGTCTGTCACAGAATGTTCATAAATCCATTAACAATCTCTAGAATTAAAGAAATGCTTTTATGGGAAAATGTGCATTTCTGAATGGCGCCCACATAGTTGACCTTCGGGGGTGCACAATTCACATTTGTATTCAGGAGATTTACTAGAGATGGGCTTGATTGCCACCCAGATTATAAAAAAACAGACTTGATGTGAGCAGTAAGCAAAATACAAATTTCCACAAACCCCTTGCTGTTGTTTTGCTCATCCTCAGCCACCATTTAGCTAATTGATTACTCATGATTGCTCCCTAAACTAAATTTTGCCGTGTTTAACATTTCATAATTTTAACAACTGGTTTTGCAAAGCTGCTACTCACATACTCAACTCTTAAATGACAGTTTCCAACCTAAGACATGCGACTTAAATTTATCAATTACATTGTCAGAAGGAGACAAAAGAGAAACTTGTAGTACAAGGATACACCTTTCCGGATTAACCGTGCTAAATAATTGCACAACTCATTGCCATTCAACCCTAAAACACTCACAACCGTGCTGGACTGTCCCATGTGCAATTTGAACCTCAGCTCGTCCTGTAGAAACACATACAATCCTGGGTTTAGTCACCTCGTTTGTGGAGTTTGGGTTCGGTTCTTTTTGTGCCTAGAAGAGCACAATTTCAGACTGTGAATCTAATGCAAATTGCGGAGTTTAATAACTGCATTAGAGGGACTGAAGAAACCTTACCATGATTATATTACCGGCAAATTATAACATTACTCAGTTTTTTGCATGAATTTCGTTGGTTAGTTAATGAACAAAGAGCAAGTATTACCATTTGATAATTCTCTTAAAAGTTTTATGGATAGAACTTGCGCACATTTGTAATAGTCAACTTGCACACGTTTGAGAAAAAAATAAGTTGTTTCAAAATCGTCATTTTCAATGTTCAAAAACTTAACAAATATAAAAGTACTTTTACCCCCATCATGAGAGCGATCAATAGAAAGGAACCAAATTAACTACTGTAGTCATTCAGCAATTTGGGTTGTAGCTCTTTCAATTTTGATGTTCTTGGAAAAATTGGTTTAGCATGAGGCACGGGTGAAATCATTAACTCAACTTAAAAGCCGTGGTTGAAATTAGGAAAATCAATTCAGCATGAAGAGGGTTACTACTGGGGTTTTACTGTTTTCCTAATGATGCAAATGCGGCTAATTTGGATAATTTTAAATATGGGGTAATCAAATTACGCAGAAGCAGAAAGTAAGAAATCTTTATTAATTTTCTGCCCAATCGTTTTAAACTTCCGGTTAGACATGTGGAACTGACATTGTAGTTTTCACCAGCAGTATAAGAAGTGAGCCATAGCAATTATAATGAATAACATTAGAATAAGTGTCACTGAATTAAGTCAATTTTGTGATCACCTGCTTCTAATGAAAGCGTCATAAATTTAAATGCTTGGAGATGGGAATACATCTCCGTATTATTTTAACCTATGGACAGTTAACAGTCACTAATGCTTCATAATGGGGGATCACAATTTTATGGCTAGCTGTCTTTAAAAATTCTTCTCATATTGGACAATTCCTCATTTGGCTTGCCTGCATGAGGCTAAAAAGAGGGTCTGACATCTTAATTACTGGCCTGTATTTCATGCTGTTAGAGGCTTCTGTGCATGGAAACCAACGATGCACTCAAAATTTTGCTTTTGAATTATCTTTTATTACCAAAATCAAGATAGATCTTCAATTGTCTGTAATATTGAACGTTTCCAACACTCTTTAGCTTAAAATTGTACTTTTGTGTTAGCTTAGTCAAATTTTGTTTGAAAATGTAAAGCTGCATAGGGAACTTCGGTTTCTAAGTACTTAAACTAATCCCAGAAGTTGACAAGTATTTATTTGTTCAAAATCACCAGCTCTGAAAAGTCTGCTAATCTTTGCAGTTATCAGATGTCTTGGTATCTTGGGGTGTGTGTCATTTGGGCGTGGCTAGAAACGCCCTTCAAATGTTCATGCCAGACCTTTTAAATCATTTTGTTGCCATGTTTTACGTCATAGTGCTTGAAATATTGCATTAATATACCACACAAGTTCAGATTTAGCTAAATATCCTATCATTTTGCTGGCCACATGTACTACTATGCCATTGGGCTGAGTTTCATTAGTTTCCAAAATCCTCTAAGATGGCCTTGAACTGCCAAGTGACGTGTGGTTCTCCAGCTAAGAACTTAGAGATTGTGCAAGAATGTGCACCAAACATCACCTTCAATTGGCTGTTGTCAACACGATCAGAATAGCCCCTCTAAAACTCTTCGCAAGTTTAAACAAGAATCGGGCACCAGTGAGCAAAAAGTCGACTGCTCAAAGGTGCATATTTTCAAGTGAAATGTAATGAGTGACCTTTCCCAGGGAAGCCAGCTAAATGAGAAAAAATCCCGTTTTTGGAATAATTGCGGTGGCGAATGACATCAGTGAAATTGGGACCTTAGAACTATCACACTAGTTACGAAAGGCGTTTATTAGAACATCCATTTTATTTGCGAATGTCGGCTTTAATACTCGCATTATCTACTAGCTACCTATTTGCTTAAATAGCCTCGCAGTAAAAACGTTATTGGAGTTTATTACTTTAGAAAACTTATTGTAGAATTTACTAGAAGTTTAGCTGCCCCCATTTGTTGGCATGAAAGTAGTCTTCTAACAGCATCTGTTGGAATCTGTGTATGAATAAAATATCTAACTTCGACATCAAAACCAACATAGCAAATCGCATTTTAAAAAAATGTACAAAATACACCATATTAGTCGAGGAAATAAAATAACTGGAATTAAACCGATGAATTGTGTGCGTTTAGGTTGCAACTCTAGGAAAATAATGTAGGCCAAATCTCGTACTTTCTTGCTAACGATTTCTTGGAATCGATTTTCAATGTGTTTTCAAATAATTTATTATTTGTGTGTGGATCATGAAAAGAGTATACCTTGTCATAAGGGATTCTCAGAATTCTTTAAAATATTACAGGTCACCCGAATTCGGCATCAGGAGATACTTCAAATTATTTGCCAATAGAAATTCCCTCAATCGACTTCCCTTGTTTTAAATTGCCTTTTCAAGTGTAAAGATTATCCAGCAAAACACTTTATTGGTTTAGAAACAGCCAAGGAAAACTAATTCCACTACCAGAACCTCATCAGAGTTTATTCATCAACATCAGAGATGACCAGACCGAGATTTTAATGGCGTTATTTCAAGGGTTTGGTGTGATAAATATGTTTACAGTTTCAGTCAAAGCGTGAGGTTGGTCGAGAAGTCGCCATAATAGCTGAAACTGCATTTCCCTTCCCCTGAGATTTAGCCGCACTAATGACCACCCATCTTTCAAGTGACACTTTCAACTTAGCTTTGCTTCCCCGACAGTTTGCTGCTCCTTGCAACCCCTTGATGCTACATCCATTGTAAAGCAGCAAATCTCTCGAACCACACCCAAAACTGAGCCGGAGCAAATGTTTGTTTATTCAGTGCACGATGTTATCATTGGCGCTGCCAATATTGCACGATATGCTCGACTTTGGTAGAAGACTTCGCTCATAGCTAAAATACAGCGCAAATCAGCAGCAAGTTTCCAAGCCCGATGACAGCAAACCTGCGACTTTAACTAGCGGAGCAATCACAGAAAAATACTCCATTGTTCCTATGCAAGGCTCACTGCGTCGATTATTACCAAGGTGTGGTTAGAGTTAAAAGTGCAATCTTGCTTAACCAGACTCTTACTATTGACAGCAGCTATTTAAAACACTCTTCCAAAAGCTGGTTCAATGCATTTTAAAACGCGACCATGACAGACAAACTGCAGGTGAAAATGGGAGGAAGCTATTCTGCAAAACTTAGGACATCAACACAAAAGTTAAAGTAACCTCTACAATGTGCAGTGATAAGAGTGGCTCAAACACAACTTCGGTCAATTCTTCCGGAAATGATACGCCCTGTTGAGAACCAATATATGTTATATTGGCATCAAAGCCCGTAACTACACTGAGAAACGCCAAACCATCACAGTTGTAAATCAGGAATGTAAGATAGATAACCTGGATGACACATGTAACGGACCGCGAATGATGCTCAAGCACCAGGATAAGACGACTGCCATCTATGTAAAACACGAGCAGTACCATGTCCCTGGGGTTTGGTTTAGTGGGTACATACCTTTGACGAGAAGTGACCAATTGGGAGGCAGACTTTTAAAGAATGCGATCTACCTCCAATCGTACTTCTTTTGATTTTTTTTGTACACGATCTTGAAATCAAAAGCTAGAGACATCAGACAGGCGTTTTATTTTCTGAATTTAACAAATTAAACTCAGAGAATAAAATGTGAATCGTAGCGATTAAAAGTCTCGAAAATTTTTGGCACAGGGACTTTAGTATTAGGAGCTTTTGCAATGATCGGGGACTATTAAAAAACTATTTTTCACAAACCTACAAATGCTTAAAGCGAAAATATTTCCAATGATAGTAAAAAAATGGTTGACAGCTAAAAAATGTCAGATTTGGTCAAGTGAGCTTTTGTGGCGAGACTAGAAGAACGGGCGGCATTATAACACTCATGGTCTATGGAATATTATCCTCCATTAACACCCGAGAAAAAATTACAATCCCTTATTGTAGTAGACGACTTTCGGTACAGGTTTGTCTCCAAGCTCCTTAATTATCTTCTCCTGAAGGTCTTTCTCAAGCTTATGGAATGGCCTTGAGCTATTTTGAGGGAACAGGGCACAACACATAGGTGTTGTAAAGGTAAGGCTAAAAGTGAAGAAAAAGAGAGCAGATTTTAGAAGAGTTTTCAAGGCAAAATTTTTGCAGAGGTCCAAGCCATGATCACTTGCTCGTATGTAAGATTTGAACTAACATTGCTATTTCTAAAATCTCGGTACCAAATTATTAATATTGTTGAAGTCATATGACGATGTCGTACACGCATTTGTAATAAGAACTGAGTCACTATACAACAGGGTTGGCAACTAGTTAAATTTGAAAACTTACTACAAGATTAGAATAATTTGCTCACGGTTTCACAGTCAAATTTTTAAAATCCATAAAATGTTGCTTAAAACCCTTACCGAGACCAGGAGTCATACCATCCCACAAAATAACAAACATTGAGTTTAGTGAATTTTCTGGCTGGAAACTCAAAACTGCACATGGCCCGGATGTATGTAACAGCAGAAGAGCAGAGGGAGTAGCAGGTGAGAGTAATTAGGTGACTTCAAAGTTAGCCTAATTCCAAAATATTTCAGGAAGTAATTAGCTTGCGTGAATGGTTGGCGTGACGCATAAATCAGAACTGCCACACCCTACAGCCAACCACAATTAACTTCATAAGAGAACTTAAAGGTGTTCAAAGGGTGGACCCAAAGAAGTCACACCTTGGGCCAATGCGAGTGTCTTCAAATAGTTTGACAAAGTGTTGCTTGTTTCATGCTGCATATCGGTGAATTACAAAGAGCATTCAAAACAAGGCCATAACTTGCTTAAAAACTAGACCGCAGAACAAATTCTACTTACAAGAGACCGCAGAGGATGACCTGAAGAGGAGCGCTGATCCATGGATAACGTTGCAAAATGCCACGGCGTTCCAAAGCATCCATCAAGAATGGCGGAAGAACTAGATGGGGTTTGATGGGGTTGGTGATTTAAAGAGTAATTTTTTTATGTTTATCTCAAAAGGGCATGGTCAACAATAATTCACACCAGTATCCTATAATAAATTAAAAACATTCTGCTTGGTCGGCCAGTGTGCCTGTTTAAATAAAATGTGAGCTAAATTCATAGTCAAAGGAATGGCGATGAAATTTTGGGCAAATACGGCGGCTTGGATTACGAAGCCGCTAGTGGAGTCAAAACTCGCAGTCATTTATCACAGCAATGGTCAAAACAGATTTGTTGCAATCTGAAGGAACATAAACATACTCAAGTACCACAAAATCAAAAGGAATTCTTTTTTGAAAATATGTTAATTGTGCGGTAGTAGCATTTAATAATTAAATGTTTGGATACAGAATAGAGGGCAATCGCCAAAACACGCTTATTCGAGGCCAGACAAACGCTTAATTGCAAAAAGGAAACAGGGGTCGGAGACGAATTTTCAGGGCTACCCGAGTTAAACTTAAAGCAAACGACAAATATGCCAAAATATTACAAACAAACAAACTTACCCATGCCAGGAGAAGCCATGAGAACACGGGAAATTGTGACTTGGGCAATGGCAACGCGAGCAGTGCGAACTGACTTGCCCAGCTTTTTACCATCCTCATCTGTTACGTCGATGCCAGAGCTAAGTTCGCCACTTCGCATGCAGGGAATATTAATGCAATTAGCTACTGCCACGGCAGCATAGGGCACCAAACGTCCAATAACAGGTGGGAAGTGCTGTGGAGTTAGAATAGGAAATAAAGGAAAACTTGGGCGCAACCACACAAACTTGGCACACATCAATACGGTGGTGGACAACAAAATAAACGGAAAACACAAACATTTGATTCTTATTTTTTATACCGGATATGTCCGAAAAATTTTAGAAGTTCACGAGTTGGATGAAGTTGATTCGGAATAAACATAAAAATTACTAATAAACCAAATGCAAACAATGTCCTCCGCAAAAGAAAGAGACATGACATCACAGGCATTTGGCAAAGCTTTAAGATAAAGGCAAGGTAAAGATAGGCATCAAAAGTGGCCAGAAATTGTTAAGCTACGCTAAATAAAGCACACGTATCCCAGGGATTGTCAGAATAACCTAAATTAGTCAAGTCAAGCCCTTAATTTAATCCAGTTCTTTAAAAGTCCGTCACTCTTTTGGATGTAAATATTTACAAATTCTAAGAGTTTGAACGGCGATCCACTATGTGGACAAGTTTGCGTTGCCGTAAACTTTTCGGTAACCGTGTTTGAAACCAATATGCGCATGTGAAAATAGAACTGAAGTTGACTATCTGGCAAATTTTTCAATAAGAAACACCAGAATGGTAATGCAACACATTCAAGAATATAAGCATATATGGCAATTTAATATAATGCATGTATAAAAATTACCGAAACTTGTTTGTTGATTGCTAGAGCGCTAGTTACAGCACCGGCTGTGGCCAGAACATAGGAAACACCTAAACGTCTACAAGACAAAATGAAAGGATAAGGTAAGAGTCAGTAGAGTATTCTCTTGAAATAAGCCAAGAAAACAAACGTCCAGAAATCACTCACGTGGGAGAAATTGGGGCATCACCACTTCTATTTGTATAATTGACAATTGCGTTAAAAGACTGGTTAAACCATTGCCAGAAGATAACAGCAGCCGGAGATCTTAGGAAAAGCAAGTAAAATAGATTTAATTGGATCTTAAAAATAAAAAGACAAAAATGCTGTCGCTGAGTAATTTGGGGAGTACAGAGTAAGGTAAAATGTGTCCCTAACAGCAGAGAACAAAAAAGCACTACCTGATTTGCAAATTATCTGGTTAAAGTCCCGAAAGATTAGTACTTCAGTAGGGGCAGTGTATCGAATGATCTTCTACGACGTAAGTTAGAAAGAACAACATAACATAACATAACAACAACATAGACTTTGACCAGTCCACAGTTATGTCTTAGTTAGATACAAAAATGTGCTACAGTTAAAGCAAATATAAATCATAGTATAAACTATGAAGGCCAAAGGAACGACATATACTTGTAGAACGTAAGCAGGCAACCAGTGATGGACATATTTCCAGGGACCTGGAAGGCCATGCGGCCGAGAATAAACATTTTCTCGCCGGTATCGGGATGAAAGGCCGAGTCATAGGTTTGTTTTGCTTTCCACAATTTGTCCTCGGTCAATCCAGGGATGCGTTCCCCAGCTTTGTACTTTTGAACAATCGTCTTGGCTTCATCTAGTTCCCGACTTGTCTTTAAGCAATTAAGGGGATTGGTGGTGATGAAAAAATGTTTCGCACGACCAATGTATGTTGACTGGTCGTAACGAGGCTTATCAATGTTAATGCCAAAGGGAACCTGCAATGATTGCAATACAACAATTATTTGTAATACAAGTTAAAGAAAAAATTAAAATACGTTTCTGAGGGAAAGATAATCAACACATAAAGATGAAAAAATATCATGAACCTAGTCAAAATTCTTTCTCACAGATAAATTAAGTTGTATATTATTATTATCTAGGATATGACAGATATTAGTAAGTAGTAATCGCGAATGGAAAAAAACTTGTATGTTAAAAGACTGATGCTATGTAGGAACCCAGACTAATAGGCAACATACACAAGGTCTTTAACTTATACTCAAGAATGTTTTGTAAAGAAATCACAGCCAGGTCCAGGTAAGAATGTGAACATTGCACTATTTAAATGAATTAATCTGCGCCAATTATTTAAGACTTCTCATCTTAGTTTCTAGTCGATAAAATAGGATTAATATATCAACGTCCATCACTTTATGAAAATTCTTGGTACCAGTGCAACCAGAGCCAAGATATTGTAAACAAACCTCAGCCATCACTCTTCCCGGTCTAACTGTGCGATGACACCCGAGGCAAACAATCAGAAATAGAATTACTACACATAAACAAAATAAAGGAGAAGATGTTGTTTAATTTTTTTATTTTTAAAACAAGTCTTTTTAGAGCGAAAAGTTGCGAAAATATAATTAAAGTAAATAAATATTTATATTGCTACCATATATCTAAATTAAATGCACAAAGGCACTTGCCGTTTGTTAAATAATAAACCTTTTAATTTTAAATACGGTTGTGCAAAAAGGTATTCCAATTGTTATTTCAATGCTTTATTCACAGCTAAAGATGCATTGCATTTTTTTCGTATTCACTGAAGTCAACGATGAATAAGCACTCCCAGTGATTCACCAAACCTTGTCAACTGAATGGATACTCGAAGCTTTATCATATTTCCCCACATTGGGCGTGCATGTGTTTCACAAACCAAGTGGCTGGCACTTCGTAACTTTGTTTATTGTCCTTACATCCCAGGAGGCACTTATTCCGATACAAACTTTGAATTTTATGCCTTGATGTCATAAGCATATTCCCACCTCGTCAAATATGTTGAAAGATGTTTCATTCCACGTTACACACAAACCCACGTCGGCAATAAGCTGATTCGCATTTAGGAGCATATTTGTGGTAACTGTGGTGTACTTTGGCGACATTTAGCATGCAGGTTATTTGAACAATGCAAATCACAGGAGGAGCGCGGAACCTGCCAGCGTGTCCAATATTGCCATTCGCGCACACTTCATAATCGAGTGATGCAAATAACCAAAAAGTTATTGTGCAAAGAGATATACTGCGGCTTGACTACAGAACCTCTTTGTAGTAAGCAAGGAAAGCGATTCAGCGTTGTCTAAAACTGGACATGGCTGACCATCCACCTTAATTACCTTTTCACAAAGGATTGCAACATAATCAAAGACAAGAAATGAAGCCATATGAGGACACATTCATACCTGTCCTGAACGTAGGCCTCTATAGATGTGTGAATTCATGTCAGAGCTTTTCTGAGTTACCTCATACAATCAACCATTAAATCAGATGAAGGATTTCTTAGATCAACATTAGGTTATTACACAACGTTAACATACCTCCCAGTTGACGGGTTCAAAGTCAGGACGGTGAGGGCAATCGTTTTATTTTGCGCACAGATACGAGTGACTCAGCCCCACGACACTTCCGCGGTTCGTGTCAACTTTGCGTGAATCGTTGTACCACACACCAGCATGGATGGAGTAACACAATGGCATGGGCTACGACATGGTAGTTAAAAAAAGACCACATTAGATTAGCCCTTGGATGAGGTTCAAAGTGCACATGTTGATCTTCAAGGTGGTGTCCACTCAATCATTCCAAGCAGATATTAAACGATATTGTCTTAGACTCCATATAAGATGGATCCAACGTCAAAGTACAATGTGACGGCAGTCACTGCATCCAAATTAAAAACTGACTTCAGGAAAAATTCCTGGAGGTGAGCTTTCAAGACATGTCTACAGACACTGCCACCAAGGGCTAAGAGCTGATGAAAAACAAGTTGTTTCGGAAGAAAACTAAAAGGAGCAAAACAAAATGGAACCTGAGTTAATTTTAAATTTTTTTTAGAAGAAACATGCAATAAACTATTTATTTATTTACAATGTCAGACAGGCGGCCTTATTGTGATGGGGTCGCAGCTGTAAGGATACCTTCAACTTGCATAGGCAGTGGTAAATTAAAATTTTGCAACACCAGTCTTGTATCTCCAACGGATTTAGCGCTATTGTTTCCCACACTTTCTATACGAACATTCAGCGAGGCCATAGCGCCACCCTCGTTCCCTAGTTTCCACTTCCTTTGTTGATCATCCAAAAGAATGGCTTCTACGGTGAGCCGGCAAACTTCTACCATACTCGGGAGGTCCACACAAAACTCCCCTGAAAAGAAATCGCCTCTCACAGGAAGAAGCTGCATACCAAGGCATTCGTTCGTGTTGCCGCCAGGCCCTTGGTGGTGTTGAAGGTTTAGAATTAACTTTACAGCGGTGACTGCTCGAAGAGGCCTACGTTGGCCGTCCATTTGACTCTGCGTTACAACACCCATTACTCGGAGAACAAGCGAGGCTCCGGATGACAGCGTCAGGGTGTCCGAGTTGTTGGTGGAGGGAAGAAGAACTAGGCGCACTTGTGTGGACTGACAGCGGGTAAAGAAAAGGCTGGGAAAATTTGCGGGTGATTGGGAAACTAAGTGAGTTGCAAGATTGACTAAGAGTGATGCTGAGAGAGGAGAGTGGGCTACCAGTTGACGCAGGATAGCCACAGCTGACTCGAAACTGTCCTGAGACACCGGTACACTACAATCACTTAAACCAGCACCTTCTGGAATCTTGAGTTCCCTAAAAAACAAGGGAAAGTTGATTAACTTAAACAAGACTACAAGTAACAAGTATTGAAAATAATATTTAGTGACTTGCCTCCTTAAATAAAAAAGCTTGAACAAGTTACATAGATGATTTCAACTCCCATCCTTATGCATTGGGTATACAATTCAGCTAGATTCACAATCAACACCCTCTGTAGTTGAGGACCTGGGAGTTAAATATACTCCGCATGCGGTTGTGTAGTGAAAGGAAATATTCGTCACAAACTTTTTGATGACTATAAGAGTTCATTTTGTATTTTATAATAAAATTTAATACTCTATATCAAGTAGTTGCTCTGTAGAAAAGATAGCAAAACCCAGGAAAAATAGAAACTTTGCGACCTGAAACTAAAATACTGACTTACGCAGGAGATCCGCATTTGGTAAGGATTTCAATGAATAAGTGGACAAGATCCAAAATGCTGTACGAAGTGAAATTAAGGAACCAATAAGCACAATAATCAATGTTGTTATAAGAACAGAAATTGAGTCGACCACCGTTCTTGACAGAGTGAGCATATTCATCAAGTACTAAAGCAACCGTTCACAATGCTTCGAAATGCTCATGACATTTTACAACTCGAAATAAATTATTGTTTTTCTGTGTTGCGGTGACAGTTACAGTCAATGACTACAAAATGCTTCAGTTCACATGAGGAAGCAATCCAACAAATAACATGCTTATCAAGCAATCCATTTGGGTACGAAGCACCTGGGCAAAATGTCACTCGCAGTCACCACACGTTTACGGTATTTGTAACTACAATGAGCTCCCACTGAAATGGCAAAGACGGCGAAAAAGGATACGCGTTCAGATGACGCAAAGTCCCAGGGTCGGCGTCGATACATTGCTGGGTAAGTGCAGAAACCTTCTCCTCCAAACCCTTCCACAAAGGCAACAACGACCTTAACTGAAAGGAAAACTAAAGCCTTCAATGTTAAGTAATACAATTTACCGAAGCTCGTGTCTTAAACTGGCAGCAAGTTAACACGTATCAATGAATCATAGGTAGTTTGCAACTTTGTAAAACAAAAAAAAAACACAACTAAATAAACATTCCCCAGAGGGGACACTACAGGGATATCTTAACGAGGCAAGGAGACATTGGATTACGACCTGAGAATAGCGTAGAATGGGAAGTGTCCGCATATGTTCTGCCATGAGAATTCCAAAAAGTAACGCAAATTTGAGAAGCTTACCGAAATGAGCGGATTTTGGTCATTAGAAGTGATCTTTCCAGTGTGGTCGCCCTCAGATTTCATGAGGGCGGCATTCATGCGGCGCAGCTGCTGCCACCGGGAGCAGACGCCTGAGTTTGCAAAAGCCCCGGCCTGAAAAGCTTCGTTGCACATCCGGGCAAGACAGGAGAGCAGGACAGAGCGGATTTCGAAGTAGGCAGTTTGGAAACGGTGTACTGTATGACCGTCGGCGGCCTAAACCCGTGGTGACACAAAAAAATCTCTGTACTGGTCTAGTGGAAAGATCCAACCATTATCAATATACTCAGGACGCAGTAGTGTTACCCTTGCGTCAAGTTAGCAAGGCACTCCACAAATAGTGGTATTAGTTAATTTAAGAGTATTTTAGAAACATACAATATTGCCTATTTTCAAAGGAAGCTGCAGTGAAGGAATATTTGCATGTTAAGAACGTACCAGAACTAATTGTTGTGCTTCCAATATGGAAGCAGACGCAGTGGTTATCGCCGAAATCAGTTTTGGCACCCAAGTGCCACCTAAAGGCAAATCAGAGACGGCATCAAATAGGTCAGCGTGGGCGCAATTAAACGCAGCTAGGCCCCTAAGCCAGGAAATGTTCTTCTCGGTTATGGCCTAAAAAATAAGAAAAAAGTCAGTAAAGTTACACTTTAAGGAGTTTCACTGATACCAGCTTTGCTGTGCTGGAGGGCATGTGTGACTTAGGAGCTAAAGCATTACCTTGGTGAACGTAGACTTAATTTTCGCCTTTTCTATGAGACTTAAAAATGCTATAAGAACGATGCTTTCCTCATTCTGTGATTGAAAAAAAGTGTCAAAACATGATAAATTGTGCTGCGTAAAAACGACCAATTCATGCGGATCGGTGTGAATATGTGCCTCTCATCTGTCAAGAGCTTCGCAAACCTCCTTTGATGATGATGAGAGTCCGTCGGATGCGAACTCGTTACTAGATATTAGGAGAATTAGCTCTTCGTAATATGGAATTTCCGATTCCATGTATCAGATTACATAGGGGATGTCACTGACCAAAACGACAAAGCTTTTAAAAGTACAAAAAAGTAATCGGAGGTAATTCAATACTCTAACAATGCAATAACCCACAAACGTGAATCAGATGCCTAGGGGAAAAAATTGCGAAAAGTACAAAGTCTACGTGGCTTACCAGTGAAGTGAGCTGCTCAAATAACTCAGCGGCGAAACGTGGCTGTTTGTGCAAACTGGCTTTGCAGGCCAACTTGTAAACAATCCAGGGGTCAAGCGTAGTTGCCGACGCCGCTGCAGCCCCAGACCCATCATCGGTAGCCCGAGCCAGGCATTCGAGAAGGTCGTGCTGTTGTTCCTTTGACAAAGGCAGCCCATTAGCTACTCTGAACACAAGCACGCAAACTTGTAGGAGCTGGTCAAAGCCGCACGTGGGACTAACTGGATTGCAAGAAGTCCTCAACTGTGTCAATAATTCCGAGGGTTCAGGTAACCAAGCAAGTCTGTCGTTTTCACAGATTCGTCCAAGAAATTGACAAAGAAGGGCCATTCGAGGGCTGCCACCTATGAGGAAGAAGCCGTTCAGAGGTAGAAAATACATATTTCGAAAACGTTTCTCAAGGACTTCCGTGTCATTGGGACTCCAAACGTGAAGTCATAGGACGTCGATTGGAAATTTTGGACGCAGATTCAGAGCCGGTAGCACACAGGATAGGACAATTCAATGTGACTAGGTTAGACTTAGAGAATCCCACCAAAAGGTATTCAAGTTCTTCAAAATCTAGGATTTGACGAGCAGATATGTTTGTGACCACGGGTGATTCGACTACCTGATTGACCAACACATACAAGAGCATATGTAATTCGGTGAACTCTGGGATCCATTGTACTCGGAATGGATTCAACAACACCAGAAAGTGGTAGAAAAGCAATGAGACTTACTTAAACGGACTTCTTTGAAAAGTTCGATGCTGCCAATTACGCTTACATAGGACGGAAAGGCTTCGAAAAATTTGAGCAGTTCAGAGTAGAGTAGCTAAAGAGAAAAAGGACTGATGAGGTCATATAATTTTTAATAAACCATTCCGTGTTATTTTGAGACAAGGCTAAGGACTTATCGGTGGAAGTTAACCAACCACAATTTTAAATCTAAGCAAGGAAATATTGTAAGGCACAAATTATACAAGCAGACTTGTGTGAAATGAAACATGAAGCTGGGGAGCCACGACCCCAGGGTCAAGATGATCCAAATCATAGTTCATCCAAAATAATTATTTTGTGATCATTGGACATGAATATGGGAGGTTCGTGGACAACGTGGCTAAATCAGTGCAAGCTAAATGATGCTAATTTAGTTTGTACCAGGGAGTAATATATAATTAAAAATACATTTAACGAGAGAATGGATTTCTAAACAAAGCCAAAAAATACCAATTGATGCCAACGCAATCGCTAATAACAAAGATACCCGATGCCAGCTAACACAACACCTTAAAAAAACGAAAGAACCCTTTCAACTAAACTTGACGGATACAAATGTTTGAATTTTGACTTTGTGTAGTAAACAGTGTAAACACCAGCTACAACACATGGCAATTCATATTATAATGAGCAATGCACATGGGTATGATTATAAATTCGTCAAATACACTTACTCTTAGCGCTTGAAGAGGTGGTCCGGAATCAGACAATATCCACGAACTACTGAAGCCCGAATGATCACCCACGTAACCAGCAGGGGCGTGGGCTGCAACAAGCATTGCGGCAACGGATTCGGAATCAAATATTGCATCAACGCCGATACAACGCGAAATTTTGCAGGCTAATGACAGGGCATTGGGCAAAAGCGAAGATGACGTAGCTACCTCCCCGGTAAGGGCGTGCTCCACACATACGCTCACACAGGGTTTACCTATATAAAGAAAGTTTCTCAAATTAGAGTTTTATGCATGAGGCGAGATAATTTTTTACGAATCTAATGTTACAAGGTTATACGAAAACAAAGATGAGTTAACTAACATATGATTTCAAAATCCAATACATAAAGCAGTAAACGGGAAGAAAGGCCGTAAGTTACACTCTACATCAATCAGCTTTAATGGTAATAAGCAACAAGCTTTCTAGGATAAAGGTGTTTAACTACTTATTCCTGAAATTGCTACTTCCTGCAATTATTAAAGCGCTCAAAAACGTAACACTAAACGTCAACCAACAAGCTTGATAATAGGGAACATACTTAAAGGGTTTGCACAAGAAAGAAGTTCGGCAGCATTAACGGAAGAGGTTAAATGATAAAAGACCATGAGGATCGTTGCCTTTTCTTGGTCCGTGGTGGAAGTCTCCAGAAATGTTTCGCACAGTTGCTGAGGACCAAAAAACACAAGCAATGTGATTTAAAGGCCTACATCTATTAAACATAGGACGAATCGCAATTTTGAAAGAAATTGACTACCGAAATATGTGCGGAATCCCACTGGTTGGGGAGTTTATTCGCGAGGTTAATCAAGTTAGAGAGTAGATTGGTCCTGACGTCCACAGCGGAGGCACTTCTAAAGTGCGTCAAAAGAAGTTCGATCTGCAAAAGAAACCAGAGTGGGCGTAAGTTAGTAAACTGAACTTTTTTAAAGTACATCATAATGAAATTAAATCATAAAACCCTCAAAATTCGATATAATACAGTGAGAAAGGAAAGAAGACAAATGATAAGTCCAAGACGTTTCCGGAAACAATCTTAGGAATAAAATGTCATTGGTTGGAAAGTAATGTATGTGTTAACGGCATCAAAAACGAATAAAAGTTTAACAAAGGGTAAAAGCGCCTACTTGATTAGAAGTATAAATGGGCGAGTGGATTTCTAAACTCGTCAACGTATCACAAATGATTGTTACAAATCTTGTCGTTGTATGTGAACTGAGTAGTTGTACCAAGCATTTCCGCATCTAGTGCTTCAGTAAGAAACGAAATTTGGCAAACCTTAGGAAGGAAGACCATGTCATGATATGCGTATTCACCAAGGGGTATAAGCTTCAGTTTTGTGTCGATGTCAGTTGTAAAATCACTAAGCAAGTCACACAGGATGGGGCACAAACTGACGGCGAAAGCTCTAGGACAATTCGTCAGATGGTGCAACTTACTTAGATATTGAAGCGAACTCATAAGCAGTCCAGATGGCAGCACTTAATTCAACTTCATAGTGCGACTCAAGCTTGGACATAAGAACGTGGTGAACGCTGATGTTATCCTTGACGATACGACTCAGGACACCAAACAGTCTGGCAACTTACACAAAATAAGTGGAATACCTTAGAGTCAACGCCCTGGCAGTAGGATCATTACTGTCAGTTAAAGGAATAAGCTTCCGAACAATATCATCGGATATGGTTAACTTTTCAAGCTGAGAACGACAATCCGTGCTTGCACGAAGGATGCCAAGTCGAACAAAATTATTACTGCACAGATAGAGACGAATATCAAAACGCACCCCTCACGGAAAAGTTCAGCAATCTTCAGAAAAATTGAATTAATTACCACAGGAAAAGGGAACTGCTCAAAAATACTGGGGAATTCAGCTATGGTTTTACACTGCTCGCCTAGATTTGGTGACGACAATCCTAAAGTAGCGTTCAACAAAAAATTGATTTAACCTTTATTTAATTCCATAATTGAAATTGCGGCATCTCTACCTATCTCATTTACATCATGCATTTTGCACACTTTTAAACCAAAAACACCTCACAAAAATTTACAGAACACCACAATACAGAATAATTTGAATCAGGGGAAACACTTTCAGTCAACCCTAAATTAGGATATTAAAAAGCAGAAATTTATTAATGCCTTTTTTGGTCAAGAATAGGTCTGAAGTCATTAATTTTATCAAAACAGAGCCAGGCAACTGAAAATATTTATCAAGCTTTTCTTAAGTAACTGGTCAATTTATTTAGAAATCGCTTACAAATCTGCCCATTTATGTTGACAAAAACCGTAAATTTCTTTAGAATTCTTCAGCAACATTGTTGACAAGAATACCAAAAGGCCTCAAGTTCTAGTAACGAAAGGTTTTTTATTAGTAGTAACTTCTGTTTTTGAGTCATTATAGTCGTTTAAACGGGTTATAGGGAAAGTATTTTAAAATTATTCATGTTGTGATCTCCAGAGATAAACCAGTTACGCATGTTTAGAAAAGAATTTGCACTTAGTTCGTGCATATCTGATGCGTTTTTGTGCCTTTTATGATTGTTGGAATAACTTAGCTCTGTAAATAAATTTTGAAGGTGTTGCACATTCCCACAAAACGTGAGCGGATTATACCATGGCTTGAAAACCCGACTTATGTCCCGTTATTTGTCATCAAAATTTGGATATAAAAAATAATGCCTAATAAGATATCGGACATACGGCACTTAGTATCAGCATTTTCACTCTATGTTGCTGCATAATTTATTATATAAATGTTGGAAAAATATTGGTAAATAATAAAATGCGGTCTAGTCTTACCGTGAATTTGTAGACCTTAAATGCTTTGATTATCAACTTTCTTTTTTAAATTGAAAGTTTAAATCTGGACATTAGTAACTCTGAAACACTGAACGCTTCTTATGTATTGTTTTTCTGCATATCTATTAAAGGATCGAAGTGGGAAAGTTAGTGTTAGTTCACAGCCAAAACCTATTAATAACCGTAGTTCTTTATCACTGTTGATGAAAAATAAGTTGGGCATGTTAGATAAAAAGACGTCTTATTATATAGTAATGTTTTCTAATTATTTTTATTGTTTATATTGTTAACTGCTCATAATTCGTTTACCTGTAATGCAGTCTGATCTCATCTATTCTTTGTCTCCCTCATCCTTACCACCAATTCGCATTTTTCAAGCCGCGGTCGTGGCCCTAAGGTCACCCATGACTCTCCTATTTCCATCCTACTTCTATATCAACAAGCCATCCTTTTCCTATTTCAACAATAGTACCCTTCCTGAAATTACACTCATCTTGTCTTTAATCGCATCGCCATTTCAGATGGACGGCCTGGCTGTAATCCAACTAAATAGGTATTCTTTCTGCAAGCACGTTATATACTGCTCGAGTGCTGCTCATGTTGAACGTTACTAGAAATAAGCAAAATCATTTAATCCCAAATGTTTCTGTACGTTTAGATTTTAAAAATTATTGTGTACTCACTTCATCTTTAAAAAAATATTGCTTAGGACAGCGCACATTCGTTTTTACACGCTCCATGTAATCTTTTTTCCATATTAGATAGATTCGTCAAGCCTGGCCTAAGCGAAATGTTGCCGTAAAGGCAAATAATAGCATTAAAGACAAATTTTTGCTTGTTGCTCACAGTAAACCGTCAGAAAAAGCGAAGAGCCGTTTAGTATTTTTTTAACATTTTTTTTAAAAAGGTACATGGAAAAAGAAAACACAACTAGGTCATTTAAAAAAATTAACACATTTATTGATAATTGTTACGGTGTAAGATTAATAAAAGTTAGTTAATGTGTGGGCGAATTTAACTGAATTTTCTTTATGTAGGTAAATTATCGTCACAGCAGGTAATGGAAACCTGTAATATTTGGGAATCAAAATCAGCCAAATGTGGGAAGTCTGTTATTTATATTTAGTACGATCCCAGCATTCAGCTCTTGCACCAGAATCTTCAAAAACGCCATTCAAGCGCACATATTTCGATTCGATATTTAAAAGAGAATGAACAACTAAGCAATAATATAAGAAAGATATATTACATTAGCAGTGCTTGTAAACTAGCGGATAAATTTAGTAAATTGTTGTCACGAAGATGTCTCGCAACAGTGTGCATTTCTTTGTATTTTCTTCTGACCCAATGTTTCGCAATAGTAATAGTATATTAAACAATAAAAAATGGACTACCTTAACTTTGTTTTAGTTTTTCACATATTATTAATACCTCGTCTCTCATTTACTGTTGAAAACTTAAATTCCGAAAATGGGGCGGGCATGCTCAGAGTGCTTGAGGATGGTTCTTGTAATTTACAACTTTATTTTAGTGGTAAGTGAAAAAAATAGTTTCCTTATCTGACTTATTAAAAGAATGATGGTGTTGTTTTTTTTGCTGCTAGATTTTGTAAAAGACTTCATTTGATAAATTCCTGCCTTACTGCTGCACAGCTCCTTGTTCTTTAATTCTACTGCTTGTAGAGCTTTTAATTGAGTTTTAATTTATTAGGCAAACACTCTACCTTTCGTATGCTATCTTAACATTTATATCAATGAATTGTTGTCGTTAGTAAATATTTTTTTGATTCACTTTCTTTAAATTCGAGTTAACCTGTGTTAAAATCTAATTTAAATCTATTGCAATATAGAGCACTATAGCTTGTTCTAGCTATTATAAAATGGCTAGATAAAATTCAATCCAATATTGGCAATTTAGACGTCTTAAGAGTCATCATTGTAGCTACTTCACTTAATTCTTTATAATGCCAGCGTAATAAATTAGCCTTCTTTCGTTTGTATAGTAGCGAATACTGTTTATTAAATTGTCAACTGTTAGTACTCATTAAATTAGCTTCGTATGGCTTTTGAACTAACCGTAAATTGCTTTCTCTCCACAAAAGGGCAGAATCATGCAATCTAAACCTATTTACGAATACCATGTTGAATATCAGCACCACCATTGTTGACGTATTATAAGAGATAAAATGGAACGTAAGGATGAGTTCAGCAAAATTATGGATTTGATATCTATGTTTAGCTGTCGTACAATAACACGATTTTTTAATACTGCTAGTAAAAGAACGTACAAGAAATTAAGGCTAGTGGTGTGCGTTGTTGCTGATTCGGTGATATCAGTTTGACGTGGCCCTAAACTACGTATTTACGTTTGTCAGATCGAGGGTGACTCACCTGTATATCAGCTGTAAGTGACCCAGGCTGAGTTAGGGATCCAAGTCTAACTCACCACGTTTAAAGACCCTGGTGTAGGTCTCGATTTGCATCAGAACTGCACGAGTCTCATGGTCTGATGTGACCATGTGGACATTCAGGATTGGTAAATGGTTAAATATGACGAAGATACTTTCATTAATTAGATGGCTGAATCCTGGCGTGTTTGTGTAAGATCTATTAGAACCACGCCCTCTTAAAAGACTTTAATGTGTTCAGAGGAAACATGACATCGGATAGTCAATGATCAATTGAGTTTGGGTGAAGCAGTAACTTTGCAAATACCTGAATGGAAAGGGGTGCGATTTTGAGTGACAGGGGAGAAATGTGTGCAGGGGTGCATGACCAAGCGTGTTTGAATGAGCGACAAGCACGCTGGGAAAAGGGAGAAGTGTACCTGTGCATGTGGCGACAAAGTAAAGAGACGGGAAGCACCAGGGTGGAATACAATGACACTTAATAGTAATAAGTATTATAATAATTTAGTTGAGCGTTGGAAGTGTGACGTATTAGGGGATCTTGGTTGGTCATTCGCTTACTTTAAACAGTCGTGTTACTAGTTTGGAGCACCACTACAATTGCAATTAGTCGGAAGTACGGTTGCGTATTGCATGGTTGAATCGATGGTTTGAGAGGAAACATAGTGGTCTAAATCACAGTCAAGTTATAATTGTACTTCAGCACAATCGAAAAAGTCTTAATTCAACTCTGTTCTTAAAAGTCCACATGCAAATTTCAAAAGAATGCACTTTTTCATCCTTTTCCTGTTTATTTTCGCTGGTCTAACGATTTCTCGATTCGTATATTTAAAACTCAACCTTCTATATCAGATGGTGTATGTAAATGTGAAGTGTCCTAGTCGCAAGGGCTTCTTGGTCCCTATCACGTATCTAGTTGGTGGGGCTTGTAAATCTGATGCAGTCAAGCAGAAGTTACCATGCTAGTACCTGTAAGCACGATCTAACCCAGTTACAAGCAATGAGTTCAAAAGTGCTTCAGGGTACCAAATTGCTAATACATTGCTTGCCGATCTTTGTCAACTAAATGGATACTCTAAGCTTTATCATGTTTTTGCACATTGGGCGTGCCCGTGTTTCACAAACCAAGTTACTGGCACTTCGTAACTTTGTTCATTGTTTTTACATCCCAGGAGGCACTCATTCCAATACAAACTTTGAATTTTATGCCTTGATGTCATGAGCAACCTCCTACCTTATCAAATATGTTGAAAGATGTTTCATGCCATGTTACACACCGGCCTACGTCGGCAATAAGCTGATTCGCATTTAGGAGCATATTTGTGGTAACTATGGTGTACTTTGATACTTTTTCGTTAGCGCAAACTGCGCCCACCGCTACGGCTCTGACTGTAGACCCGGGCTGAATTTGATAAATCGACCATCTGACAGAATGATTGATCAACGCGGCATTTAGCATGCAGGTTATTTGAGCACTGCAAATCACAGGAGAAGCGCGGATCCTGCCAGTGTGTCCAGTATTGCCATTCGCGCACACTTCATAATCGAGTGATGCGAATAACCAAAAAGTTGTTGTGCAGAGAGATTTACTGCGGCTTGACTACAGAACCTTTTTGTAGGAAGCAAACTGTGTTCAGTATGCCAGTATGTTTAGTATCACTATTCGCGCACATTTTATAATAGAGTAATGCGAATAACCAAAATATGATGGTGGAAAGAGATTTACTGCGGCTCGACTGCAGAACCGCTTTGTAGCAGGCATAGTGTGCAGTTTTTAAAAAATTCGAGGCACACACACTTGGTCCACGCGCATGTTCCCATTTCCGGCTTGTTCATCGTGGTTGACCTTTTCGTGTTCGCTCGTGCGCGCCTATCGATGAGTCACCTAGCCCCCAATGCCACACCTTCTACCAGCGCGTTTACGCTCTCTACTGTCGCTGTCGTACGCTAAGGTTTGATCTTGCATTCTACCCATGCATTAGTTGTCAGAATTTCACCTCGATTTTTTTGGTGCTGCAAAATTTTTTTGTAGAAGTGCAAGGCGATGTCCAAATTTAGACTATTGATGTGATAGCCTTGTCCTGTCAAACCACAACATTTAACTGGCATGGCTTGTATCCCTTGTGTTGGTATTTTTCGTTCACAAAGTTACTTTAAACTTCGAATTTCGTCTATGTGAATTCCCCTAAATTCAATGTTCATGCTCATTCCAGAAAGTAATCCAAATATTTCTTTCCCTTCGCGCGCCGGTGTTTTTGCTTGGCTTAAGTATTTGTTTTTAAAATTCGTGTAGAACCTGCGTAATTGGATTGCAGGTGCTCCTTATGGTAGACATTCAAATTAGTAAGTATTCAAAGAAGTGGTATATTCGGTGGTGTTACAAATTCCCGAGTTGAGATTTACTGTTCTTGAGGCAGCTGAAATTGGTTTGTATTGGCAGTCCATCTTTTCATTCCCTATGCTTTAGTTGCATGGACCATTTTTAAATTCATTTAGGTTTCGTGACTATTCACATTTCCCCAAAGTCTAGTCACTTTTTTGGACTATTTTTAATTACATTACTCCATAGGTTTTCGCGCTATAAAGCTTCTCCTGCTTTTTGGTGTGCGCGACCTTCAAATTGTAACCGTCTGTTTTTGGCAAAGTGATCTTTTCGGGCTCTTTTTGCCTTGTGCAAATCAAGGACTTGATATTTAGTTTTCTGTCACGAACGTGCATCTTGATTTTAGTATTTCTTAGTCAAAAAATACTTCTGTCACGTTATTTTTTAGTATGTTTATCAATTTATAGGGTCATTTAGGTCAGAAAAGAAGTTATGCGTGGTCCATTCATAAGTACTGGCTGTTTTGAGGGAAACGATTAATCGCATAACCTAAACAACGATTAAACATTGAAACACATGAAAGGCGGGCATCCATTTTTCGACTGGATTGTTTTAGTTGATTGTTCCACAGTCACGCACGAGTGCATATTTATAATAGAAGATTAACCAAAAAATGTCCTGTGGGTAAAAGCCTGAATGTCTGGCGATGGATAATAATCTAGATTAAATGTAATGTATGGCAAGTTGAACCAAGCACTGGGTAGTTAGAAATCGTGTGGTACTTGAATGTTGAAGAAGCAAGGGTTCTCGTTAACGAAAAACACCACCTTCTAGTATTCCACAATTAATTCAACTCCACATAAATCCCCCTATTAAGGAAGTATTGCACAACTGCGCAAAAACACCAGTCAAAATTTGCAGGAACCGGCTTCTGGCCAACTTGAAATTTTTTGGCCGAGTAGTCATAGTAACGTGAGTCTTGGCGTTGCCATGGCGGAACCCAGCACCTATTCTCCTGGTCAACTCGCATATATCTACCGATCGCTGTCTTCCATTTGGTGATTAGCAATATGTAACACCCACTGTTCGTCTGAGGTCACCAAATGGACATCAGTCTAGGGTAAATACTAAGTAATGCGTGGGGTCAGCCTGGTCTATCACCTCAGTTCTCTCATTTGTCCAGAATCCCGGATTTTATGTCTGGTAATAAATTATTTAAGGAGTGACTTGTTTTTCTAGCATGATTTGCGACTCGAAAATGAGACTTCAGTTCGCTGAATTGTCATTATCCAAATAACGTGATACTCATGCATAAAAATTGAAGTTTAAAAGTGTACTGAAAGCTATATTACCAGAATATTTGCAATCTTGTCAACATCACGTGCTCTCAAACATGTTTCTTTCTCAATCATATCGGGGCCCGTTTTCTGCAGAAAGCGCTTTTCGGCATAAAGAGTTTTTTTGAAGAAAAGTTTACATCCAAATATAAGGAACCACTTATTTGTACACAGAATCACCTAAATTAACACTTCCAAAAGGAACACCAATTTTAATGTGACGGCGCGTTTTCTGGTAAATGCCTTGTGGTTAGCTTGAAATCCTGCAGATAACTTAAAAATCTGTTGTTAATAATATCACTTTATTTGAATACCATTATTAAATGTGCTTCATGCGTTACTTCAAAAGGCAGTAATTTTCTGCACGCTGTGTTTGTTAGGAGAAACGGAAGTTTAGGTGACTCACGACAAGCTTGGGAGTTGTTATTTTACACGTTTAGTTAAGAAAATGCGATATTTTGGTTGAATTTTCCATTCAAAAATTGTCATATTCATCACCTACGTTTCAATGCATTTCCGTAAGCTGTTGTTGCAGTCCGTTCTGTCTATCGTGTCAACCAATATTCTTTTGAAACATTCAAGATGGAGGCAATTTGCGGTGAATTGGACAGCAAAATAAGACCTTTTTAATGTCTTTAAGACGGTGATCGATTAAGCATGTATTTTTTAATCCTTGATTTCATTGATTAGCATTTTCTGTTACACACAAGGGGTCTTCATCGCTTTTCTTCGAATCAGTGAGGTATTCAAACAAATTGATCACGCTTTGCAAATAGATTTTAAAGACTTCAAACGAAACAGTACTTTTTCAATGGGTATTCTGTTCATAATAGTGTATTAAATGGCCACTTTATTGAACACAAAGCACAGCCCTATTTAAAATAGGCTTTTTTTAATGTCACTGCTGGCACCTCTCTCAACATGCACTTCTAAATTAGCGACTAAACGTTGATTTTTTCAGTTGGTGGGGCTGGTTATCCTCGGCTTCGCAGTATACGCCTACATAGAGCCGGTGGCGCAAGAGTTAATAGAAGTGTCGAACCGCCGCACCATCGCTACTGTTGTGTTATTCGTCCTAATGGGCATCGGCTCTTTGACCTTAATTGTGGCCCTCTTCGGTTGCTGTGGTGCCTACCACGAGTCCCCTTGCCTCCTCGCCACCTACTTCATCTTCCTCATCATCATCTTTGCAATACAGCTCTCCGGTGCCGCTGCTGGCTACTTTTACAAGGAAAAAGTAGGCCAGTTATTGTTTTCTGCCAGCCAAGCATTTGATTTAAGTGATTGCTCATTAACTCATGTTTGTAAAATTCTTTTTATGTCCATTCTGGATGTTTCGAAAGTAGGTAACTCGATGAATTAATCGGCCACAAATGGATCACTACTGAATATCTTTATTCAACCACCTGTTGCGGCAAAAACGGTTTTGGGAATATGCTTTAGCAGCCAATTGACATTATTTATACATTAAATTCATACTTTAATTGCTGAAAGGTGTGAAGAAGATTCAACTCTTTTGTGTTTATGCGTTTTAACTATTGACATCCTCACCAAATGAACCGAATGAGGTAGTAGCCTAGTTGTTTTGTATTAAACCAATATAGGCTGGAGGTGAGAGTAGGGGTTTTATTTGTATGAAATTTTTAAAAGTTATTGTTTCTTGTGTTGTTTTTGCTTTGCTTCTCCGGAGTTATTAATACAATGAAGAAACATTTTTGGTTAGATTAATTCTTGAAATTGATGCCCTTGCCTGAACAGCCTTTTCATTACCTAAAATTACATTTAAACAAATTACTTAATATTGGACAGCAGTAAAATGGAATTAACATTTTTATAAGCGTGTTGGCCTTAAACACTAGCTACTAGAACTACACAAAATAACGCAACGCGAAATAAAATGTAATTAAAAATTGACACATGGAGGTTTCGTAGTGAGATACCTGAGGCAAATACTTCGGTCCTACTTGACAATTCATAACAGGAGTAGATCTTCATCTCTGCGTGATGTCGCCTGGCCAACACTGCTTGTGACCGAGTTGAATCACGAAAAGCCAGTTGTCCAAAATCACTTAAAATATACGTTGGCTTTTTGCATTCAAGGTGCATAACACTGCATTGTGTGCAGATCGTGTTATTTTTTTAGTTTTTTGGTTATTCTATCAATAGGCTTTAGAGGATAAGCTAGAGAACTTATTACGCTTCTACAGAAGCCAAAAGTTACAGCGGTTTTGGTTTCATGTCGTAACACGTACGACAAAATCAGTTTTTGCCCCAAACGTCCCTAAGTATAAGTTTGCCACATTGAAATCTTAATAAAATTGCGGAACCTTATGTCAGGCAAAATCACCATCAATTACAATAAAATTTTTGCAATAAAATAGTATCTTGTTGAGGCAGTTGTTTAAGGCATGTTTAGCGAGAAAAAATTGCCGCTCCACATCGTGGTCACAGAGCTCAAATCTCAAATTTACCTCGGTAAATGCACTTCCGGTGCTTGTGCCGTCATTGTCTAAAAGTAATGGCTGGTAGGTGCTGCGGCACCTTTACATCAACACATTCTTATGTGAGTAAACGGGTTTGGAAAGTTATTCATAATTGCGCTCCTCTGAGCCAATGTAATACCCTGGATGGAGTAGATAAACAACATCGTGGTAAATAATTAGTTTAAAATTTAAGAAAATTATAAGAGGTTTTTAAACCCATTTGTGTGTAGACCTAGTCACACATCAGTTTCCATAGAGCATCTTTTGTGCGAGGTCATTTGTCATTATCTACCCTGCTAAGCTCCCTTTTTTGTAGGTAGGGCACGTTTTCTTTTCAACACTGTCAAAAACCCACGAATTCGTACGATAAGGCATTCCATTTTGGTTATTTTAATGATCCCAAACCAGATGGTCCAGTTACCCCAAGGGATGAACTTCGTTGCCAATCAAGAGACCTCACCTACTTTAGTACTTTTTCTTGTTGATAGAATATGTTTTGGAAATGCTTTATGGGTGTCAAAATGGTGGGTTTGCATCGGACCTACTTATGAACGCAAACTAAGCACGAAATTTCCTTTGTGCCTTCAAATATTTCTGAAAAAAAAAACATTCGAAGGGACTTTATTTTGCAGTAGCCACCATTTTAAATGTTTCATGTCATTGTTGAGATAACCTGTTTATCCCCAAAGCATTTTCAACAGCCCTCGTCACAACTCAAACCGCTGGCACACAGCCGTCCCATCGGGACCAGTTGGGTATAGTTAGCGTCACTTGAAAAAGTTGAATCTAAAGTTTTAATTTTGTTCAAATGTTCACCGATGCAAAATGTTTGATAGGGCTTGGTGTCTCGTGTTTGTCTAAAACCTTTAAACCAATGCACCTCGCTATAAACAAGTTCAGCCAATAATTTATGCAGCCGCTAAGGCCTGACGGGCCGCCAGAGTGTAGATGTGAATCATCCACTCTGGGGTCGTCATTCGATCGAGTCGATCCATTCCAAAGACGCTGACTTGGCCGTGGTGTGTCTGATTCATGAAAATTAGTAATAATTCAACTAGAAAGTTGCTTATTTTTAGATCTTCGAGAATACTGAACAGAGGATGAGGGAGGGCGTATTTGAGCACATGAAACCCATCCCTACCATGAACAGACAACCTGTACTTATGAATGCTGTGCAGAAAGTAGTAAGTTATTTTGTCCCAAAGTATTAAAGTTAGAGGTTATGAGGCTGTGACAAATAACTTTGTTGCAACTTGCTTCGTTGGAACCCCAATGTTTTGGTGGGTCCTGTAAGACAGTCAATTTGATCGTTTCCTTTAAAAAAACAATTTTCTTAATCTCAAAGGTAAATGTATAGTACAGCAAATGCATGCGCACAGATCTCTAAAACAGCGCCCATGGTGCAGTTTGTTTGGATTAAGTTTGTTTCCGTTTTGGAATCTGACGACAAATTTCAATTTTGGCCTAAAAGGTAGAATGAAAGTCACTTGACTGGAATGAAGGAATCATTGTTCAGTTGTCACAAATGGTTATGGCGAATCTAAAGTTTTGAGGTCTGTACACCGGAACACATGTTCGACATACTCTGAGTGGTGAATAATCTTTTAGTGAACATTTTCATTTCAAGTGAGATAGATAGTTGATTTATTAAACAGTCCCCTTTTAGTCAAATAAGTGCCTGAAATCATTTACACGTAGAGGACAGAGAGACGAGATGCACAAAAATTTTTCCTACATTAACTTGCTTTGAAGTAATATAGTTGCAAAACAGCCTCATGAAGCTTCCTCTTCGCGGACCGAAGAGCACTAAAAAAGGCGCATTTGTAATGGCAGTTACTTAGCGTAGATCTGTGTCGAAATTTGCTTTCCCTTAGTAGATTTAATGTACGGATACATGTCTCATTCGGACTAAAAAAGCTTCTCAAATTATTATTATTATTATCACAATACACAGTGTCAATGCCTGGTAATTAGGGCCAATATTTCGTGTTGTAAGATGTATACCCCTATTCTTGGTTTGGTTTTAATTGTATCTCAGACTATGCAATCAGATGCAAAACCCAGTAAATTTTCTGTTCTTAGCCAACAACGTAGAATTTCGTACCTAAAGACGTCATGCCGAATAGCTGCCGGTCAGCTTCTTCATTTTTCATATTCGTCACAGCAATCACTGCTGGTAAAATCTTTAAATACCCATATTTACAGGCGAGTATGGATTATAAGCATTATCTCGTACCTGAGTGTGCAGTATATTCACAGTGGTTTTTGTGTAAGGTATAATTTTAGTCATTAAATAAATGAGCTCGTTCACGTTGATTATTATGTTCCGCATACTTTTATCAGATGAACTTGAATAATTTAAATTCACGACACGATGTGCCACGCCTCCTATTGTGTTTGGAATCATTTTAAATTAGTTTTGAAGTATTACTCTGATCTGAAACTAAGTTTCATGACAACGAGAATTCCGTAGCAAAACCACAAGCTCAAAGTCCCTAATAAGCGAACATATCTGTCTGTTAATGTCATCTCCTGTTGCTCCACGTTCAGTCTTTGCAACCCACGATGCAAGGTAGTAAATGCGAACCTTTGCCTAGCCATGTGCGTGCACATTTTCACTTTCAGTTTGAATGCTGTGGGGTGCGAGGGCCGAGCGACTACAACGGCAAAATACCCATGTCCTGCTGCATTGCGTCGAGGAGCTCATGCAATTCCGCAGAATTCAGAGATGACGAAATCTACACCACGGTGAGTCAGCTTGGTGTTCATACCCTCTTCTTCGGAATAAACGCCTGATCTTCATTTACTTCTTAAAATCATGTAGTCGGCCCGCAATGTTATATTCCATAGTATTATCTCAAGGTAACCTTCTGGGAAATAATTGTTCGTTGTGTTAACTTTTAAATGTATTAAATAAACACCAGTAACGCCTCTCATTCAAGCAGACACGTTTGATAAGTAACGATTGCATTTTTTTCTCTCGGTGATTTTGGCTTTGTTAGCACAACACAAATGGTAAACCAAAATTTCATAGATTGTGTAACAAGTTAAATTAATATTTGCTTTTTAGGGCTGCATCGACAAGTACAAGGAGGCTGCTATTTCATTCTTGCAGATTCTTTTCCTCGTTGTCTTTGCGATATCCTTTTTTGAGGTATGGTCTTTCAATTTACTGTAAGAATGATTCACCTTTGCAAAAAACTAAAACCACTAAATTAGACTTAAAAAGAACAACTTTCTCGTAGTTTAGAGCTTGATTTGAGCAGTTTCTCTGCCACTCAAATTAACCATACATTAATGCAGGTTGGGGGCAATCCACCTACGCCATTCCTAAGATAGCTTTTGCGGTGTCTGCACGAGTCAATTTCATCGCACTCTCTACGAAATGTGTGGTATCAAGCTCTCTAATCTGTCTGCTGAGGTTTGGCCGAACATCAGTGTCCAAGTTTTTTGTCTGTGTCATGGCCCAACCTACACCTTGTCCTTTACCATTTGGGCCACGTCGTCTCGAGCACGATCAGGTCTCTTGGGTTTTTATGCGATCGCCAGGCCCATAGGCACTGGTGTGGGACTGGTTTATTCACGGGATTTGACCCTGGTTCACTCGAGCCGTGGGTGAGCCTCTTACCACGTAGCCACTGCACAGTGCCCGACTGCAATACCGACGAGACACAAAGTCCCATCAACTAATCCAATTAAACCTTATCTAACTACGCTAACCAGTTGTCCAACAAACGAATGTTTTCTGTATTATAACCCACAATCATTCAAATGCAAATACAATGATTTTTAGCCAATACTGCCTAGATTAAACACTTGTCCTAGAAGGCGTCAGACCTCACAATTTAAGGAAATTTATGGATGCAAAAAATCTGGTAATTGTTACGACACTTAAAACTAATGGCCTTAGTCGTAATTTCTTTTCACGCCATTGAAGTAACTGTTTAAAACAGGACAATCGTGTTAGATTATGTGACTTGAAAATCCATGACAAATTCTATTTAACTTCAGGGTAGATACTTTGCTTTTCGCGATTATAATGTCCACACCGAACATCAGCCTTCCCGTGAAAATCTCAGAATAATCGGTACGAGAAAAATGACGTGAGAGTGTGTGGAAGGAAAGTGGAGACGATGTTAAAAACCTGAGGGAAGTTGGCCCAGAGGTGGCCCTCAATTACTGCTGTGGCATTGGAACTTGCAAATGATTGCATTATCATAAAGCATACGAACTAAAATGAAGGTTTCTGTAAATAATATTGATAAAAAATAGACCTAGGCAAAGTGTTTATTTTGGTGCGCATCTACCTTGTGAACTGTTCAATAGACACTAAAAGAGTGATAACTTTAGTCCGATTAGTCGAGGTTCCGCGCGCGACAAACGAGTTACATTCTTCGTTAGCCACTACGAAAATCGTGTATATGCGTTTGCCTTGCATGGTCGAAGTTCAGCACTTTAGGTACAAAAAAATCCCTCGATCCTCCTATGTAAGTGAAGACGGTGCGTTTGCAAGCCACTGCCATTGCGTATCGCGCATGCGCCCCTGCCGCATTTCGCGCCCACGTTCCGGCGCATTCATTGATCGTGCGCGCAATGATTCGTGAGCTCTGGCCAATCAGATGACCACAACGATTAGGCGCAGCGCAAATAAACTTGCGCTCGCGTGTCTATTGTGTTTACTCTAAAAACCAAAATCGGGCATCTTTTATGTTTACCAAGTTTTAAAGTAACTAACTTTACGGACCAGCTATGAACTCATACTAAGGCACGAAATGACGGTTTTCCCGAAAGTCCAAACTTCGTCAAGTTGCATACGTAACGGCGAGGGAAGTCATCTATCAGTGCTGGACGGAATTCTGCAGAATAAAGTAGAGAGGCGCATGACAGCACAATAATAGGCCAATGTGCAACGCCTTCATTCCTTGTGTGCTTACGCGCTGACATCTGAACGACGTTATCTTGAAACAGGGTCTGCTTTTTGGGCGCGTGTGTCGGTGGGGAGACTTACGTACAGTGCGTTCAGCATATTTCACCTTGTTTCTACTGTTGAATCATGCTGTCATAACGTTGAATATCGCGTCAGTAAGATGCACTGACCGGGTTGCTATATCATGTTATAGTTGGGCGTATTGTCCGTAAGCACTCACAAATGTAATTCCAGTCATTTTTTTCGTCTTCATTGCCCCATGCTCAATTTGAGACTTTCAGCTTTTACCTGCAAACATGATCCTGCGTACTTAAACCATGCACTTCACAATTTTAATTTACTTTCAGATATTCGGTCTACTCTTCTCTATAATAATGTGCTGCATTGTGCGAAAGTATACTGCTGACTACTACGAGGTCGACTATGCGCCCACATCATAAGAATATGCGAACGCGAATCCCTCTTTTTGAATTCTTTCAATCATTAACTCCAATCGCATGCCGTCCATTGCTCTGGCGACTCCTCCGTTATCCCCTCCTCATCTTGCTCGATTTTAAAAGAAAACCAATCAGTATTTTTACTCATTTCTGTAAAGTTATATCCTGCTATACCGTATTATTTTAAAGGCGATTTTGGTTACCCACGCTCGCGCCAGTTTGCATTAGAGCTTGAGGTCAATCGACTTGGAGACCCCAAGCGCTGTTTAAATGAATTCTTCGCCGTTTTCTCAAAGCCCTTTATCCGTGACTTCTTTTGCATAGATGTACTTGCAATCATTTAAGAAATGTGGAGAAAATAAGGTCTGAAGGATGTTACTGATTCATGTACCTCAAATAATGATTTAAATTATTGCTTTTTTATTTCTTCTTCATTGCAGTTTAGTTGTTTTGTAACTTGTGGGGTAAAATATGCGTACAGAATCGAGCTAGATTAAGTTGTGTGACATTTACTGGGTCGTGCGATGACTAGCCATAAACTCTTTGCCAAAGTGTACTTTCCTTTTAATTTTGGCAGTTGCTAGCCTCTCGTAGCCTGAAGAGTCTTGTCTTCTCCAAATTGGTGTCCAAAGTCACGTGCCTTGCGACACACACAGACACCCACTTTCCCTCCCGTCTTTATTCGCACTCGTTTGGCCAACACAAGCACAGGCCACCGCAGAAAAGGCACCGATGCCGTCCATGCCGTATTTTGCAACTCGCAACACTTTTTGATCACATTGATTCCGCACGCAAGGCACTGCTGTGGATGGGGCAGCGCATGTCCACCTAACATCAGAAGGTTCTACGATGTGTTAAATAAATATCATCCCCTAAGTCTAATGCAGTGGTGTGCCGCAGTTGGCGCACTTTAGGATGTTAGCTTTTAGTTCTACAGCTTCTGACAGAAATACAAGGATTCTATCAATGATATATGATAACATCACTGTAGCATAAAGCCTTAACATTGCCAGTTTGATTGTTGTGTCATCGTCTGAAATAATAGAGATGTTTTAAGAGCCTAATAAATTACACACAAAAGTTAACTTAAAAGTCGAACAACAGCATTTGCAAATCGTGCTATGACTCTTCGTCAGTTAAGTTACAACTCTGCAGCACATTTGTTGAATTTTGTTTAAATAATTTATGCTGCTGGATTTATTTGTATTCTTAAAATTTACTTCTTTCGTAGAAGCACATCGTTATGTTTAGATAACTGATTACAAATTCCAGGTCTGTCAATAATTCAATTTAATAATTAGGACTAGACACTTGATTTTGGTTTAAAAATTGTTCCTTTTGGTTTAAAATTACAACAGAACTTCGCTGTAGAATTTGACACTAACGCAGTTTATTTCAACTCGATAAGGAATAGTTCATGCATTCCACACTAGAAATTTCGCTCTGCCCACAACTTTTGGTTGATGCAACCTAAGAAATTCAAATTACCGGTTGAAGTGTTGTGGCGAACACAAAGTGAGGCTGTGTGAGCCCTTTTAGACATAATTCAAGTCGTAACGCAATATGTAAAACAAATGATTCACATGTTTATAAGCCAATCTTTTAGTTTATCCACAACTTTACTCAGTTTACGTTTGAATTTCACATTAAAACACAAAAACTTTACTTTCATTCAGACATCAGTCCTCACGGTACTATGAACACAAGAGGTTAAATGGGCCCACTTTAATCCACGTGTCAACTCTGTCTTCGCAACTATGCGTCATAAGTGAAATGTTTGTTTCTTTAAAAGACAGACTGCCATGTAATGAAAAAGAAACGAAATAAGGACGATACCGGCAACAGGCAGTATCTATTAGGGGTAATGATTCTTTCCTGTACGATGTTTTTGTACCCCGAATCGTGAAGATCTGCAACAAAGATGTTTGCCACTTCAATAAACCTTGGCGCGTTTTGTACAAATAAAAAGAATTCAGTAAATCATTTGCAAAGTACACAGCTTCCCACTTCCATTCTAATGACTTAACTCTTCTTCCAATAGCTACGAATTTAAATTATGCGATGGAAACGTACAAAAAAGTATACTGTAGTGCTCGGTAAAGGTTAACAATGGAGGCATGGTAGTTTGTGTGACTTTGGATAAATCATTCGAATTCTCAGAAATAAAATAAGAAAGAGAAGGGAAGACGACTAATGCATTTTTCTTTTCCTACTTATTTTTCATATTATTAATTCAGTTCAGCATTTTTCTCATTTGGCTGAATATTGAAGATGATTACCATGGAACGCTCTTCATTTTATTCCGATGCGAGTTTGTCATGAAACTAAATAATTCAGAACTTATATGCATACCTAACTTGAAAACATGGCTTTTAAACTAATTAATTGGCTGGCTCAAAGTAGTTTTGCGATGTTCGCTTTACGAAAGGCCCCTAGCGGTTACAGCTTAAAATTCGTAAATAGGATAAAAGCAACAGTATAAACTGTTTATTCGTCAATTGACTCTCTTCTAAAAATACAGCAGCCAGGCACGTTCAATCATGACCTTCTTGCACTCAGAAATCGAAGTAAAGCCTAAGCATGAAAAATCTCCGTCTTCAGCCTGTTAAGAGAAACCGTTCTAGCATATTTCCTGACTGTGCAAATTGCGTTCACTTGTTCCACACTGTCATCCGAAAATATTTTCAAAAATTTAATCCTGTTTGGGTGCGTCATAAGCGAGTTGTGCACATAAGTGTCTCGACAAAACCAATTTGTTTCTGCCACAGAATCCATGACTCTGTCTTTGCTTCCGACTGGATGATTAAGCATAAATACTTCGACCCTGGCAAATCTTAAAAAAAAATAGAATTGGTTCTGCTTAAACGCAATCACAGAAGTGAACAACTCAGCTTGTTAACGTAGTAATTTTGAAGTGAACACGATTTTTTAGACTCTCGATAGTCGAAAACACAAAGGTAGTGAACAAGAGAAATCGTTGTGCAAATGAAAACTTAAATTATTTAACCCAGGTAAACGTGATGTTCTAACCTCGAATGTAGTTTCTAAAAATTTAAAATTTATTACGACAAACTGAAAAACGGATGCCTAAAGGGAGAATGAAGTCTAAATTTACTTTGAACTTTTCTTTCAGTAACAAGTCTCTTATAAAGTTCCATTGAAAAGTGTTAGGATCGAAACACTAAAATAGCCTCTTGATGACATTCATCTAATGTGCCTGTTCCTTTTGCATTTGCCGTTACCCTCATGAATCTTTCCGTTGTTTGTGATCTACATTGAATCTTATTTCTCATAAAAGACAATTTAATAACTCATAATAAGTTAGTAACTATTTTAAAATGTAATCTCACTTTAAAAAAAAATAATTGAACATCAAAGCTTACCTGTGAGATGTTTACTTACAACGCAAACTGAAAGTACACAATGTTAACTATTTCCTAAACTTCTTCATCTTCTTTAAATGGAGAAAGCCGAAAAAGAACTTTACTAAGGATCAGATTTTGTAAATTGGTGAAAACCACGACTAGTAAAGTCAGTTTTTAACGTTCACAAAGTAGGAAAGTAAAATGTCTAATAGGAACAGTAAGGATATTAAAGCGTCACGGACAGACGTCAGATGAGGGCGCATGAATTTAATCTTTAGCTTGTTAAGGTCACATGCATAAAATTTCCATGCATTGTACCAATGTGTAGGACCGTTAAAATCGCCCTGGACAAAAAAGGAGGTATTAGAAATACTACCTTGGTTATGTGGAATCCTAATGTTGAAAGTCGGCGATTTATCAAGTCTCGTAAGTTTTTTGATGCTTTATCATTACGTTTCATTGAGTGGGTTTAAGTACAAGAAGGAAATAACCACCTGAGTCTAGTCCTTTTTAAAGTGTCCAAGGTGCCACAGTTAGAGCTCGCTAAAAGAAGGCAAAATCTTTACGCTAAATTAGCACCGTGGATAGAGAGTTTAGGTGGTACGCTAGAACGCGAATTATGAGAAATTATCGTGGTTCTGTTCTTGAGGGTGCGTACCTGTTGACAGAAACATGCTGTGGTGACTGGATAGGCCTTGCGACAATATTGGCTCAAGCAAGAAAGCGTATAGCTTAAAGAAGATTCGGGTAAAGTTGAGGTTGGCATTGTGGGCGCGTTAGAGGTGGCTGAATCTATCTTATTTGGGCTACACAATGTCAATTGATTCCAGTTACCCACTTACCTGGTAGCAGAAGCGTTGTGCTGTGAATCGCGTTGATTCATGCTCATTAATCCAGTCGCTCAATTCTCCGACACACTGCTCCCTTTTCCATGGCCCGCCGTCAGGCGACCAGAACCTCTACTCATGTCTCATTAACGCGAACGATCATCCAGTGTTAGCATATCTGTGACTCACATCGTTTTACACTTCTGAGCTATAAATACGCACGCTCATCGCCACACACCGATGGAATCTTGGTTGAGCTATGTAGTAAAAAATTGTATCCACGTCCAAGTCTGCCCTCAAAAGTTATTGCAAAGACAAGTTCTGAAAAGGTGAAGTTAATGTCTAAATAGTGATGACGGCTATACCATTTCGGGTGTTTTTGAGCTGCCGCAAATGCATCCCACCACATACTAGTTGAAAGACGAGGACTAAGTGCATAACAAATAGAACATGGTATACATAACTTTGAAACGTCCGAGTCGCATTGCTTGGATCGAAGGAAGTTTGTAAAACCTCAAAAATTAGATTTAAAGTAGCTGCAGAGGTTTCTCATGCATTTTCTGGGCTTGTGGGTACCTGATGGTAAATTGTTAAAAAAATTAACCGTTTCGTTTCAAACAAACTCAGGACTACACAAGAGCTCTTGTGCATAATTTAGTTGTTGGCCATTTATTTGAATGAAGCTCTGAATTAGCTAATTCTAACAGATGGAAGATGCCTTGCTTTGGCAGTTGTAGATGGATGTCCTGGTGTGCAAGAAATTAATTACCATGTGAGAGAAATAAGAGTTTCAGGAATTCATATCTATTGA